TGCAACGTATCTAAGGCAGTTACGTGGTGGGTTGACTTTATCATGGTGAAAGAGGAAGGAAAGGATGACGGTCAGGAGAATGAGAATTATGATCGGATGATGTCAGATGTATAGATGAATGATGATTGGGACAGGAGGTATAAGAACCTGGAGCAACCTATGAAATTAGAGGCGCGTATAGAAGGCAGTGGTGGATATGATTTGGAATGATGTGTTGGATGTTGCAGGCAAGATCTAACGAAGATCAAGAGCGTGACTGTATGTAATAAATGAATGTTGGACATAAAACACTCTCTTACTGATGTAATTCATATGATGTACATCTTGTACACGTCGTGCCGGACCGATCGTCTAAATTTTTAAACGTGTTTTTGCAAAGTGTGGTTATTTGTGTTGCTTGGTGGCTGAGGGCGAAACTCACCATCAACAAACCAAAAAACTATAAGCGTAGCAGTGGAACTGGAAGAGATGACACTCCATGATAGGCTTCGCGGGATGCACGGCCTGATCTTCTCACTCTTGCTGCTCTTCCCAGCCCACACTTTACAGTTGCAATTGTCTCCCATTCGGTTTGGACACTCTGCTTACCACCTCTCTGGAGATAACTCGTTGTTAATCGTCGGTGGAATTACGACAACTAATGGTGTTGATGCTCCTCGTAAGTTCCCACCGCTTGAAATCCGTGCACCTGTCTTGCATCTGTTGCCAACAGGTATCATTTCTTAGAACTAAGTTCTGTTGATCTAAACCTTGTCAATGTTACCCTGGTTACAAGTGCTGTGGAATTGAATATCCAGCCAGAGTATCCCGCTTGCACGAAAAGTCCCACTACTGCATACTGCTTTGGTACGTCTTGTTGAGGAGCTTGGTGGATCACAGGTGGTTTAACGGTTTTGATGTGAACTTTAGGAGGATTGGGCGGTCCAGTCGCAGATCCAAACCAACTTCGGTTTCTACCGTTAACGAATGCAAATGGGACTGTTTGGAGTAATGTCACTCTTAACAGGACTACGCCAGATGTGACTTCACGTGTTGGAGCTTCGTTCACGTTTTTGGGAGGCGATGCTTTCTTGTTTGGTATGTGAATAGCTTGAACTGATAGATGATAAGAGTTCTCATGCTGATCTTTTGGTTTGATATAGGTGGCACAGCTGATTCCAATATCACCCAAGTGTTTTTGGGAAACAACACTGCACAGTTTGTTGCCATCAATAACACTGCTTCTCCACCACCACGGTCTTATCACTGGTACTTATTATGTTCAACTCTGAATCTCGTTGGCCACTTGTTGACTTACAGACCTTTTCAACAGTGCTGCCGCAATGCCAGATGGCCTCTCGCTCGTCATGGCATATGGTGCCTTCAACGGATCCGCACTAGCAGACGTCTGGGTCTACAGCAGCTGTACTTCCAGCTGGACTCAAATCTCAACCACAGGCACACCGCCGTCCGGAAGATGGGGCATGAGTTGTAACGTTGTTGGTGGATCTCTCTACATGTTTGGAGGCGTCAATTCAGCAGCCTCGTACGCAGAAATGTACAGGTTGGACTTGACTTCCTATCAATGGACCCAACCATTACCTGTCCCACCAACAGCGCCACGATACTTTCATTCAGCTACCACGATTAATGATACTCAGCTTGCTATATACGGTGGTCGAGTCAGTATTAGTGCTATCAGTGATCCGAACGTATGGTTTTACAATCCTGGATTGGCGCAATGGTCTACAGCACCTTTCCCCAGCACTGCATCAGCAACAGCTGCGATTGTACCTAAATGTTATACCGCTCCGGCACCTGCTCCTACCGACACGATCATTCCATCAATCAATATTGGTGGAACCAGTATCAACATTGGTATTGTAATAGGAGTCATTGTCGCCGTAATCATCGTGATTGCCATTATCGCATTCCTCATTGGCCTCGCAGCAATGAGACGAAATCGCCAACGAGTATACGAATCGTATGCAGACGAAAAGCCAGGCAGATATAGTAGTGGATACAATGGTGGATATAATGGTGGTATTGGTGTTGGTACGGGACTTGCTGCTGGTGCTGCTGCTGGTGTGGGTGCGGGCATATTCAAATCATCAAGTAACAACCGCAGAAACAATTGGGATGAAGAGCCTCGTCCAAGTTTCTTTAGTCGATTCAGTAGACGCAATCACGATGATTGGGATGCTACGCCTGTTAGACGGTCGGGTTATGCGACTGCCAATGATATCTCAAGGCCTTATCCTGTTGGTGGAAGTCCAGTCGCTGGAGGCCTTGCTGGAGCCGCTGTAGGCGCAGGCTTAGGTGGTGCCATGGCACCACGTTATCAACAACATGATTCGCACCCGCCTCAACAAGCATATTCTAATGGACAACAACCTCATTTTAATGGATCTCCCCCACAACAACCTCATTTTAATGGATCTCCCCCACAACAACCTCAATTTAATGGAACTCCTCAACAGCAGCCCCAGCTTAATGCAAATCAACCCTTACAACAGCAGCAACTCAATTCAAATCCTCAGCAACAACAGGCGCCACAACAACCCGAACACCACAATGGTATCTCAAACCCAATTATTGGCGCAGCAGCAGGTACGTTAGCTTTGAGCTTGAAGCTTGCTTTTGCATCTCAGTATTAAGTAGTATTTTTTCCCTCACTTTTAGGTGCAGCACTCGCTGGTGGAGCCATCGCTGCGCATCACTACTATAAGCAACATCAGGATCAACAGCACCAGCAACACGAGCAATTGCAGCAGCAGCTTCAACAGCAACAACAGCCAACCCAGTCAAATGATGTAAATCATCAAGCTGATACACAAAACGTCAGTCGTCAACCATCTAATCGCAAGATGCCTCCCTCTGCCGCTCCCACGACCACTGCTCCAATTGTATCTAGCACAGCAGCTGCTACACAGCCTTCTTCGAACGGGCCAACTGAATTTGTATTAGCATCTCCTGTAGCACCACAAGGACCACCTTTGGCGCATCCTGCCACACAACAATCAGTACAACAAGCAGCTTCACAACAACAGGCACCACAATCAATGCAACGAGGACTAACAGGAGCGCCAGCAGGACATGGCACTGATGCGCCATTACCTCCAACTCCACAACCTCCCCCACGATCCTCACTCTTCCCATTCGCCGCTGCACAGTCAGCTGCAACGTTAGCAGCACCAGTAAACAATAACAATGATACCGGCCCTCGTGGTATATTACGGAGCTCAGGCTCGAATAATCGTCAAAACACCAATAATAGGGAGCAACATGTCAGAGTACAAGATATTCCTCAACAGCAGCAAAACGTTTCAAATAATGGAGGTGTACCTGGCCGAGCACTCCCCAAAACGGCTCCACCCTTTAGAGTTGCTATTGAGCACATAAACCAGGCACCTGATGAATTGAGATTGTATCCTGGTGATTTTGTTGATATTAGGTAATACACTACAACAGTTTTTTTGCACGTACCTGTAACTTAAGCAATCTTCTTTGTTATAGTGCCGTCTATTCAGATGGATGGGGTCAAGGCACATCCAGATCCAGCTTACAAACCGGTCTCTTCCCACTCTCCATACTTGCTGCAGACGACATGTCAGGATCACTCAACCGAAACAAACAAGCACCTCCAGAGATCTTGTTTAGTACCGGCCGTATCTCGTGGAATGAATATACGCAGATAGTTGATGGTGTTGATAACCAGGGGCTCATGCAACGCCTGCAGAGTGGAAGAGATAGTAATAATGCTGGAATGAACAATAGTGCTGGAGGTGGTGGCGGTATATCTGGCTTCTTTAGTCAGTTTAGACGGAACGCTGTTCCTATGAATTAGTGGAAAGTCTTTTTGGTTATTTTTACCTTTCTCTCTTTAATCTTTATCATCTTGTTTGGAATCATTGTATATTTCTAGAGCAATTATTATGGACAAGACATTGTTAACAGTTTCTGCATTCAAAAATAAAACATTTCAATTGACAATTGGTCAGGTTTGGACTTTGACGCAATTGAAGAATATGAGGCCGGGAGTCTATTTGTGAGCTGAGGAGGTAGGAAACAGGTATTCAGGATATGATTCTGATTTATTTTTGTGAGATTCTACACCACTGACATAGAGCTGCCACAAGCTTCATTTTCTTGTGTTTCCATTTACCTCGTCTGCTACTTGACAGCAACGAAAAGAGGACTACCTGGAAATTGGATTTCAAGAGTACAGTCAAACTGCCTACTATCAGATTACGTGGCAATATGAAGTCATTTAGGCACAACGTCGGTGCCATAATCAAACCGCGTCGTCACGAAACAGTAAAAGCAACAGACACAGGACGAATTCCAGTAAGTTCTGATATGATGCAGTCATTTTGGATTCAATTCATCAAGCCTAACACTTTCTTTACGTGGTTTGTTACAAGTATCGTCGCCGGAGATGAGAATCCACACACGTAAATAGGTTGTCATCATCACAGGGAGACGAGGACGTCAGCAGGCAAGACAAGGCAGGACCATCATCATCGTCTTCAGCTGTGGTTGATGTAGAGCCGACTCCAGTTGCAAAACCAGCTTCGCCTGTAAGCTCTCAACGTTGACTTCGGTTTCTGGTACTTCAAAATATAAATAATCTACACCTTTAAGCCAGCCTACTCTGCTTATGGACAACGCGTCCTTCAATATCGAGTCACTGCAGCTTATTCGCTCGTGAACCGGACGAGCTCTTGCTCCAAGTGGGAGATGTCATCGTTGCTTTTGTTGATGGTAATAACTAGTCACGTCTATTACACACTCGCTCCTTACTATTCACTTGAAATTTTGACATGATGGGTTTATGGATATTCTCAATCTCCAGATCAGTATGGGATGGTTGCGGTGGCAGCATTGGAAAAAATCGTTGTGCAAACAATGTCCAAAAGCAGCCGGGCCGTCTAGTACAATGAATGGGCTCATACAGCAGGCAGTAGCTCAAATTCCAATAACTTGAATGCTGGCAATGAAGACTTATCCACTCTGAATGCATGGCTTACTTTGCTGATTTCAGCCTCACCACGTTTTGGCTAAAAGAAACGAGACTCAAATCCACTCGAGGCTGGCTCTTGGATGAACTAATGGAATGGAAGGACATTCATAATCAGTCTTGTGTTTATTGGCTGTCGGGCGTAGCAGATGTAGGGAAATCTGTCATAGCTGGTTCCTTTTCAGATCAGCAACCAAACCAATTGGCAGCCCACTTCTTTTGTAAGCACGCCGAAATTGCTCGTAATGGACCGTTACGGATAATCGCAACATGGGCATTCCAGCTAGCATCGTTTGATCTGGATATTGGGAAGGCTTCAAATGACATTTATCAAGCAGAACCAAACTTTCTCATCAATATGCCATCAATCGGTCGTCAATTCGAACAGCTTATAGTGAGACCGCTATCCAAGTATTGTGGTGGTAAAGCCGTTATATTGTTAGATGCACTGAATGAGTGTACGGTGGAAGCGCGATCCTAAAAAAGCACCATACGACGAGACTTTCTCCAAACGCTTGGCTGGCGCTAATGTTGATGCAGAAGGTCAAGACCACTGAAACAAAAAACATTATTTTATGAAACCCATAGACGTCTCGTGTGAGAACGGACGCATAGATGTAGTTAGGTAGTAGCTGGATAGAGGAGTCAGTGCATCTGCAATCGAGGATGGAAGAATACACCCGCTTCTATATGCAGCAAGAGGAGGCTCGACAGAGGTCGCACAGGTCTTGTCGAGAACGGTGTTGACATCAATTACCAGAGCAAATACTTGGGAACCGCCATCTTTGCTGCATCATTTTATGGAGTCGAGGATATGGTCTTATACCTTCTCAACAATAGAGCAGACTCTGGACTTGGCTGGGACGCAGAAGGCATAGAGTTAGAGGGCCTTAAGTTGCCATATGTAACGCCGTTAAATATGGCCTGACAGTTGCCATACTATTACCCAGATCCCCTCCTGGTGACAGAGACTTCCCAGCCAAAATACTATTTTTCGCACAGTAGGTTCCAGTTGAATGGACTCCGCTGCTCGTTGGTGCAGTAAACGACCTCACGGAAATGGTACAGCTGATGGTAGAATATGGAGAAATATTGAAAGAACCACGCCAATTGGACTTTCCATGGATTGGTTTGATTCGATACCCTCAATATATGCAGCATATTTCGGACGAATCAATACGGCGAGAATCTTGCTAGAAGCAGGAGCTAATATCAAAGCACGGACAGCTGCCCAGAAGACGAGTTTACATATGGCGGCGAGTACCTCAGTTTGAGACCGTATATAGCCCGATATGGTTCACCTCTTAGGGTTTTGGGGAAGTGATCTTGATGATGTGGATGTAGACAGGGTCACGGCATTACATTGTGCCATAATGAACAAGGCCATACAGACTTTTGAGGCCTTGCTGGAGCTTGGAGCCAACGTGAACATAGCTGATAATGCGGGTAATACTCCCTTGCATGAGGCTGCTAAAGAGAACGCTGCAAATATGATCTCGCTGTTGGTGAAGGCGTGTGTCGCCAAGAGTAACGTGAATAAATTAGGAATGACGCCTTTCCAGGATGCTCAAAAGGCAGGATTTACTAATATATTACAACTTTTGAAGTAATGGGGTAAGTATTGGAGAAGAATTTGGCATGGATATATGAGACATCAATGCACAAAGTAATAGTACCAATTATATCGCAGAATAAACCTCGCACACCTTAAAGAACGAGTTTTCGGTGTACTTCAGTTCGCCTAGATCAAAGTTTCCCTTATTTGTAGGTTAACTTGCGACCTCGACTCCTGAAGGTAACGCTATGGTACACATATGTCGTGGCTCGGCTCCACAATAATAATTTGAACAACAGCGGAAACAAAGAAGACTGCTAACATCTGTGACTAGAACACGTAACTATTTTGTTGTCAGCTATGGCGTCGTTCAAGGACAAAATCGGTGCCATCTTTAAACCCCGTCGACAGCAATCAGCAAATGCAACCCTCACAGACGAAACTCCAGTAAGCAATAACATAAAACAATTCAATTTCAGTTCTAGAACATCAATTTAACATAAACTCCCTGTAGTTTGCTACGAGCATCGTCGTTGGAGGAGACAATCCAAGCTTATCCATTGAAGCACCATTTCAGCAAAACAATGACATCAACGGACACAACGACGCTGGATCGTCATCATCGTCGCCTTCGACAGTCGTGGATGAAGAGTTGACTCCAACTTCGCCTGTAACTTCTCAACATTCGTTTGTGTCCCAAATTATACTAAAGTTCTACCCATCTTAGCCTGCCTACTCTGCTATTGGGCATCACGTCCTTCAATATCGAGTCACGGTAGCGTATTCGCCCCGTGAACCAGACGAACTTCTGCTTAATTTGGGAGATGTCATTATTGTGAACGAGGCCTTTGTCGATGGTAGAAAATAACCATCACCTTATTGGTACATCTAATTGTTGACGTTTTCATCTCAACAGGCTGGGCGCATGGCTACTCTCAATCGGCAAATCAGTATGGGATGGTACCGATGGCTGCGTTGGAAGAAGTAGTTATCCAAACCACAACAGCAGCAGCAGCAGCAGCAGGGTCATCTAGTACAACGAACGTGCTGACAGCGGCAGCCAGTAATTCAAGTTTCAATGACATAATCTCCAACAATGAAGACCTGTCGACTCTGAAGGCATGGCTCACTCCTACCGATTTTAGGTTGACCACGTTTACTCTAAAGGAGAAGCGACTCCAATCTACTCGAGGCTGGCTATTGGATGAGCTTATGGAATGGAAGGACAGTCCTGATGAACCCCGTGTCTATTGGCTCTCTGGTGTAGCAGGAGTGGGGAAATCTGTCATCGCTGGTAGTTTTGCTGATGAACTCCAACAAAGGAATCAATTAGCAGCCCACTTCTTCTGTAAACATGATGAGATTGCTCGTAATGACCCGCTACGAGTAATCGCTACTTGGGCATTCCAGCTGGCTTCCTTTGATCCCGATATGAAACGGGTCTTAAAGGATTTATATCAAGGAGAACCCAACTTTTTGATCAATACGCCATCAATTGGTCTTCAATTCGAACAGCTCATAGTTAAACCATTATTAAAATACCGTGGTGGTAGAGCCGTTATATTGCTAGATGCGCTGGATGAATGTGGCCTAGAAGGGACCAAACTACGACGAGAGTTTCTACAAGTTCTGGGAAAGAGCTTTGCCAATCTCCCCAAAAATATTTCTGCATTTATAACCAGTCGGCCATTACAAGATCTCCGAAAGCAGTTGTCGAACTATCCGCCACGAATAATGACGCTAGAAGCCACCGAAAACCTGAATGATATCAAACTGTATGCAGTATACAGAATGAACCGTCTGCGTCATGTTTTGGAATCGGCAGCTAGTGTTGACTTTTTTGCCGATAAATTAGCTGCAATGGCACATGGACTCTTTGTATGGTTGTATCTTGCTTGTGATGAAATTGAAGAATCGCACGACCCTGACCAAACCATCACCGAGCTGGAAGAACGAACCATCGGAAATGACGAAGACCGAATGGACACTATCTATACTAGAGCGCTGGTTTCTGGATATAGAGGAAGTCCGGAGTCAGCGATACAGTTGTATACCAAGCTAGTCGGAGCCCTTGTCGCCGTTCGAACACCGATCTCCATCGAAGAAATGTCAGCACTATTAGATATTCCATCAACGTCAATTAGAATCAGCTTGGCCCGTGTAGAATCGCTGCTCGTCATATCAAAGTCGTCTGTACAATTAATGCACAAGTCTGTTGTTGATTTTATCACTTCGAAGGACCGTTGTACTGGAGACGCCTCGCCGCTTTATATTGATAAACAGTTGGCAGAGTCTTATATTGCCAGAATGTGTTTGCTTGCTCTGCCATCGACTTTAAGACTGACAAGTAGTACAGGGCAAATCGAACAGCTCAGAGGAATTGTACCTTATGGTACTCCGACGTACATCAGCTATGCTCTCTACCATTGGGCAGATCATCTAGATTCCATCCAGGAGATGGACAAGGAGTTGAATGAAACTCTCGTGGAAGCACTTCTTTATTATGGTCGTGCAATGCTGATCGTAACGGTATTGAAAAATCTCCCTTGTGCGCTCACTCATATTCTAAAAGTCGGTGGTGGCCCAAGGCTATTGAATGCGGCCGAAGGTGTTGACTTCTTCAAATCCACGATTTTGGAGGAAGCTATCGTATCTGACAATGCAGAAATTGTTGAGGCTCTAATAGAATATGGTGGTGCTCCCGTGAATGGGATAGAAGACGGCAATCGCAGACCCATGGACGTTTGCGTCGTATCTACCTCGAGTGAGTCACTTCAGGTGCTTTTTCGTCACGGAGTCGACTTGGAGGGCAGAATTGATCTGAACGGAACCGGCGGAGGTCACAAATATGATTCATCGTCGACAGGAGTGATTAATATTCAATTTGGTCTTGAGCGGTCTCGTCGTAGGGTGAAGTTGGAAGAGTTGCATATGGTAACCACATCTCATTAATTGCAAGTCTACGCACATGAGACTTCTAACGAAAATGAAACCACGCAGGACGATATCATGAATGCTGCAAGACTGGGCAATCTCGGCGTTTTAAATCAGCTGTTAGATGCAAGCCCGTCAATCGATATAAACCGACAGTACCCAGATTGCGGCAACAAGACTCTGCTGCTAGTGGCAAGTCAGTATGGATCTTATGATGTAGTCACGTATTTGTTGAACCTCGCCGCAAATCCCAATCTAGTCGACGTCCAAAATCGCAGTCCACTCCACCATGCCTGCTCCTTCGGCTCTCTAGAAACCGTGAAAGCATTAATGAAAGCTGGAGCCTTGGTAGACGCCGAGGGGTTAGACAGCAGAGACGCATTCTTCAACAACACATTTGTCAGACCCATCGACCTGGCTTGCGAAAAGGGTCATGTAGATATAGTTAGGTGGTTGCTTGAGAATGGAGTTAGTCCGTTAGCACTGGAGCACGAAAAGGTCCATCCTCTTTATTATGCAGCAATAGGAGATTCTATCGGAGTAATCCAGCTCCTTTTATCGAAGGGAGTGGATGTAAATTGCGTGAGTAAAACCTCTGGAGGCTCTAGTACCGCACTCTTTGGTGCTGCCATGAATGGAGCTGAGAAAAGTGTTGCATACCTTCTCAATGTCGGGGCTGATTCTGAACTTTTCTCGCAATCAAATGGGGTGGAAGCAGATGGATATCGATTGCCAAATCTAACTCCGTTGAATGTCGCATGTCTCAAGGTGTATCCAAATATAGTTGCACTTTTACTCCCTAGCTATCCCCCGGGTAGAGACACAAGAGTCGAACTGCAGGTGCCTTATATGGGGATGTGGATTCCATTCCTTTTAACACCTTTAATTGTGGGGACCATATACAATGAACCGGCATTGGTCAAGATGATGTTAGAGTATGGAGATGACACGGAAGTAGTGCAGCCCCTTGGCATGGAGTTTGAGATGTTTGAATCGACAGCTTTGCACTGGGCGTTTTGGCATGGACGAACCACTATAGCCAGGTTACTGCTAGATGCTGGAGCTAATATCAAGGCCCGTGTAACTTCTAATCGATCCTGTTTGCATGTAGTTGCAATTACACGATATGCTGGAGATCGCATCAAGTCCGATATGGTCAGACTGGCAAAATATTATGGTGCTGGTCTTGATGATGTAGATGCAGACGGATGTACCCCACTACTTCTCGCTGTCGTCAACAAGGCAATCCAGACTGTGGAGACCTTGTTGGAGCTTGGAGCTAACGTGAACCTAGCTGATAATTCGGGCAATACTCCATTGCATGAAGCTGCGAAAGAGAATGCTGCAAATATGGTCACGCTGTTAGTGAACGGCGGTGCCGATAAGAGTAAAGTGAATAAATCAGGAATGACGCCTTTACAGATTGCTCAGAAGGCTGGATATAATAATCTACTACAGCTGTTGAAGTAATTGTCGTGAGGGTGGCTGAGGTGCAACATTGTGCTGGAATCGTTCAGACATAGTCACCAATGCACATAGAATAAAATCGCGCTAACCAATGGAACGAGCTCTACGGTTGTTAGAAGTACCTAGAGTTTGTTTAAACCATGTTATTGTATACTTCTAGAGCCAATATTATGGACAAGACATTGTTAACTGATCTTAAAATACCTTAACATCGTGCTCCTCTGTATTTTTCAACCAGGCTTGGAACTGGCTAGAATCACCATAACAGTTTTTGACAAATAACAGCAGCAATCATCTCCAACGAGTTCAAACGTTGCCGGCCTTGGTTGAATGGCGCGACCTCGACGAGCAGCCACTCAAGGACCTGATGTCTTGGCAGCTCGGGCGATGCATCACTCCAATGATGCCTGTAGCTGGAAACCAGTTTAGATTGGTCCAAAAGAACGTCGTGCATCCACAAAAATCGTCACATTTCGATTTTGACGCAATTGAGAAATATGAAGCCGAGAGTTTAACAGGTGGTTCGAGAGTGCGTCAATCTTCATTTTCTGGCGTCAAATCTGGAGCACGACCTTTCTCTGTCACAGGTATTGTCTCTTCGTTCACTTGCCGAAACCAGATTGCATGAGCCTCTTTATTTCTTCTATGACATTTATGGTACCCGCGGCCTCTAATTTACAAATCGGAAACATAGGAGGACTACCACGACTTTGATTAAGTCAGAAGCGTCACTAGTCTGTCATCAACCATGGAGGCGTTCAGGCACAGAATTGGTGCCATCTTCAGGCCTCGTCGACATGAACTGGTGAAAGAAACATCCACCGAAGAAATTCCAGTAAGGAATAACATGAAGCAAGTTAATGTATCAGTTTAGGAATATCAATTCTAACACCGTCGACCAAAGTTTGCTACAAGCATCGTCGACATTCCAAGCATATTTACCGAACCGCCATCACAACAACACCATGACATCAGCGAACAAAGCGAGTCTTTATCAGTATCTTCGCCTGTGTCGACAGTGCTTGATGCAGAGTCGACTTCGGTCTCAGTTTCGACTCCACCTTCTGATGAACCTGTAAGCTCCCAACATTGGAAATTGTATTGTTGAAAGATGGTCTGTAACAAATCTACCCATCTAGCCCTCCTTCATTGATTCACAACACATCGTTCAATATCGCGTCATGCAGCCTTATACGCCACGTGAACCGGACGAACTGGCGCTCAACTTGGGAGATGTTATCATCGTCAATGAGGCCTTTCTTAATGGTATATTGGTCAAAGAGATTACGTGAAGCTTTGTATCAAAGTTTTATTCACGATATGATTCATTTAGGCTGGGCTTTCGGATACTCGCAGGCTACAAATCTATATGGAATGGTGCCAAAGGCAGCATTGGAGGAAGTGCTTCTCCAAGCGATCGCTCCTCGGATAAAAGAAGCTGAACCGTCTAACTCTCCACGCATGCCATCAGCAGCCTCAATAATCTCCCATAAAGACGATCTATCTGCATTGAAAGCGTGGCTCACTCCTGTTGATTTCAGGCTGACCACGTTTACCCTCAAGGAGAAAAGACTTAAATCTACTCGAGGGTGGCTGTTTGACGAATTGATGGAATGGAAGGATGGTACGGATCAGTCTCGTTTGTATTGGCTGTCGGGTGTAGCAGGTGTAGGGAAATCTGTAATAGCTGGTTGTTTCGCAGATGAATTGCAGAATCGAAGTCAATTAGCAGGCTATTTCTTTTGTAAACATGACGAGAATGCCCGTAGTGACCCCAGACGTATTCTTGGAACATGGGCATTCCAGCTGGCTTGTTTTGACCCGGATGTTAGGAAAGCTTTATTGGATTTATATCAAGCAGAACCAAACTTTCTGATTAATACGCCCTCAATTGGTCTTCAATTCGAGCAACTTATAGCGAAACCGTTATCCAAGTATCGTGGTGGCAAAGCCGTGATATTGCTAGATGCACTGGATGAATGTGCGGTGGAAGATAGCAAGCAACTACGAGGCTTTCTCCAACCACTTGCTAAACACTTTAGCAGTCTTCCAAAGCAGATTCTCTTTTTTGTAACCAGTCGCCCATTGCAAGAACTACGTCTGCAACTATCAGAGTTTACACCACGAGTTATGGAACTAGAAGACATATATAATCTGAACGACATAAAGCTTTATGCTATTTTCCGCGTTACCAAGTTACGCCCTATACTTGACACGGATGAGCAAGTTGACTGCCTCGCCGATAAGCTAGCTACAATGGCACATGGTTTATTCGTATGGTTACATCTTGCATGCGATACTATGGATAAATCCGACGATTTTAACGAGACGATTACGGAGCTGGAGCAGCGCACTCCAGGCAATGACGAGGATCAAATGGATGCAATGTATACTAGGGCACTCGTATCTGGCTATAAAGAAGCTCCTGGTTTAGCAATAGAGCTATATACCAAACTAGTGGGGGCACTCATAGCCCTTCGAACTCCAATGTCGGCCGACGACTTATCCGCTCTTCTAGTAATCCCGTCAACAGCAGTCAAACTCAGCTTCTCCCGAATACAATCTCTGCTCGCAGTATCTAAGTCGTCAGTACAGCTAATGCACAAGTCTGCTGCTGATTTCATCACTTCAAGGGACCGTTGTATTGGAGAGGCATCGCCCTTTTTTATAGATAAACAGGTAGCAGATTCAGACTTTGCCAGAATGTGCTTGCTTGCTCTGCCGCCAAATTTGAAACTGCAAAGTGTTCCCGTGCAGATAGAGCGGCTACGAGGCATCGTCCCGGATGATACACCGGCACATATGAGATATGTTTTGATCCACTGGATTGATCATTTAAACTCCATAGAGAAGCTGGACAGTGAGTTAACAAAGGTGCTCGCTCAAGTTCTTCAATTCAACGGTCGTGCGATGCTGATAGTCGCGGTGATTAAGAACTTGCCAATAGCTCTCAAACATATATTGAAAGTCGGTGGGGGCCCATATCTTTTGAAAGCTGCCGAGGACGTGAAGTTTTTCAAATCAACGATTTTGGTGGAAGCCATCGTATCTGATAATTCAGGGATCGTCGAAGCTTTGTTAGAATATGGTGGTGCTCCAGTGGAAGGTGACGAGAACTACCCTCCTACACCCATGCAGGCATGCGTCATAGCATCCTCAGTTGATTCTCTCATGGTTCTTTTGCGTCACGGCGTGGACTTGGAGGGCAGAACTGCTGTAGGAGGAACCAGCGAAGGTCACAACTATGATTCAATGTCGATGGGAGTAATCAACATTCAAGTCGGTCTTGAGCGTACTCGTCGTAAGGTGAAACTGGAAGAATTGCATATGGTAACTGCTTCTCCTTGATTTCAGTCTACGCAAATATGTATTCAAACGAGGTTGAAAACACGTAGGATGATATTATGAATGCTGCAAGACTGGGCAATGTTGAACGGTTAAAACACTTGCTGGAGGTCAATCCGTCGATAGATATAAACCAACAGTACCAAGAGTGTGGCAACAAGACGCTGCTGCTCGTATCATGTCAGTATGGATCCGTTGATGTGGTCACATATTTGTTGAGCATTGGAGCAAATCCCAATCTAGTCGACCATCAAAATCGCAGTTCACTCCACCATGCCTGCTCCTTTGGCTCTCTAGAAACCGTGAAGGCATTATTGAAAGCTGGAGCCTTGGTAGACGCCGAGGGATTAGACAGCAGAGACGCATTCTTCAACAACAAATTTGTTAGACCCATCGACCTGGCTTGCGAAAAGGGTCATATAGATATAGTTAGGTGGTTGCTGGAGAATGATGGAGTGAGTTCTTCAGCGCTTGATCCCGGAAAGGTCCATCCGCTTTGTTATGCAGCAATGGGAGATTCTATCGAGGTCATTCAGTTACTTTTATCCCATGGAGCGGATGTCAACTGCGTAAGTACAACCTCTGGAGGCTCTTGTACCGCAATTTTCGGTGCGGCAATGTATGGAGCCGAGAATAGTGTTGCATACCTCCTCAATCTCGGAGCTGACTCTGAACTTGGCTCGGAAACAGAGGGAGTGGAAGCAGACGGTGTTCGGTTGCCAAATCTAACCCCGTTAGATGTCGCATGGGTAAAAGGATATCCAGTTATAGTTTCACTTCTACTCCCTAGATCTCCCCCGGCTAAAGATACAAAAGTCGAACTACAGCTGCCATACATGGGAATTTGGATTCCACTCGTCCTAACACCATTGATTGTGGGTACCATATTCAATGAACCGGCACTGGTCAAGATGATGTTAGATTACGGAGACAACACAGAGGTGGTGCAGCCCTTCGGCTTCCAGCTTGACATGTTTGAATCTACAGCTTTGCACTGGGCCTTTTGGCATGGAAGAACCGTTATTGCCAGGATGCTGTTAGATGCTGGAGCTAATATCAAAGCACGAGTAACTTCTAATCGATCGTGTCTGCATGTCGTTGCACTTAGTCTATACACCGGAGACCGCCTAAAATCCGATATGATCAGGCTGGGAAAGTACTATGGAGCTGATCTTGATGACGTAGATGCAGACGGATGTACTCCTTTACTTCTTGCCGTCACAAAAAAGGCAATCCAGACTGTGGAGACCTTGTTGGAGCTTGGAGCTAACGTGAACCTAGCTGATAATTCGGGCAATACACCATTGCATGAAGCAGCTAAAGAGAATGCTGCGAATATGGTCACGGTGTTGGTGAAGGGCGGTGCCGATAAGAGTAAAGTGAATAAATCAGGAATGACGCCTCTACAGATTGCTCAGAAGGCTGGATATAATAATCTATTACCGGTGTTGAGGTAATAGTGAGCATGAGTGTAACCGATGGAGTGTAGTATGCCCGAGTTCAAAAGGTGAGATGTGAGTGTGAGTCTAGAAATATGGATTGTGGGATGCTGGAATTTCAAAATGTCGGCAAATATGGAGATCTTCCGCACCAAAGTAGAAAAGTAGCATCATCACAGAACAAACTCATACCACCATACAGCGAGAGGAGTGAAAAAGTTTCCAGTGCTTCTCTTGGCTTTCATAGTTCGACGCGAATGGACTGCTATGCAAACATCACCTACACAAACGATTCTCTTGAAAGTGGATCTACTCGCCTTTCCAAAGATACGAACGCATCAACCGTATTTGACAGCAACCTCTTGTAACCACACTACAAACCAGCTTCGTGCTCCTCTGTTTTTCTCAACCAGGCTTGGAACTGGCTATGGCCACATTGGCACGGTGGTGACCTGGGACCCATAAAAAAGAGTCATAAGAAGAGTGTTGAGAAAATACGGAATCTATTTGACGTGTGACTCAAAAGTTAATGTCATAGACATTGTACAAGCGAAGGAAGACGGTTTACAATACATTCCATATCAACGTCTATATGTAGCTTCCATTTGCCTCTGAACTTCTCTGCCGATCAGGAATCAGCAGAGCCGGTCATTGGACCTCAACTACCACTCGAAGAGTGGGCTCATTGAAATACAAGTCGCCACCCATTTCGCAGGTGCCCATGTCCTGCCGACGTGGTTTTCCGTCGATGTGCTTTTCACGAGGGGAGCCACAATACAGCATCACTCACCAGATATGGATGGTTGCAAGTCTCAAAACCACCTGAGGGTGGAGGATGCAAAGTTCTAGCCTACAGCGTGCAAAAAGGGTTTGCATGCTGGGAGATACTACTTTGGGATTGGCTCGCTCTCGCTAAACCGTGGTCAACTACAGGGGGAAACAGATCAAACCGCACTTTGGTGATGTTGCTGATGGAGGCACAAATGACATACCCGGGTGAGCTATAAGAGGGAGGAGAGAGCCATCCATCCAGTAGCTGTGCCAAGCTCTACATATCTATAGGTTTTGCGTGGGTATGGGTAAGAGATAGTCTTGTTTCAATGCAGTCCAAATCCAAGGATCGAAAAACATGTAATCCAGAGCTGTAAAGAACTGCGACACTCTAATCAACGTACCTGATGGATGATAGCTTTCTATCTCACACTGTTCGTAGCCCTCTCCTTCTTCTTACGTCCTGTTCTTGAGTGATTTCTATGTTGCGGCAAAAGTAGAAGTTGAGTGAGCATTTTCGACGCACGATATATGAAGCGGAGTAAATGGACGTGTTTCTAATCATAGCTTATAATTCATGTACCTTCTAGCCGCAAATCACTCGCTCAGACACGTCCAAAAGCTTGGGGTCTATACCAACATTTACGAAGAATCTTGATACAACCGTCCAACTGCAAAGGCCAAACCGGGAACAGTGTAGAATACTACGGCATACGTTGTCGTGACAAATCGCGGCTGCATCACAAACAACTCCCATGTTCAATGCAAAATTCAAATTGAATATATGTTGATTGATGTATGGCACATACAATCTTTCCAGGTACACCCACTAACCAGGCCTCAAACTCATCTCGACACGTTTCAAAGTCCCTCTCAGACTCTTCCCACCACGATTACTATTTTCAGCCACCCACGTCTCCACTTCACCACGTAATTTACGTACATGTCGTATAGCTGGAAACTCGGATTCCAGTTGTTGGTGCTGATGAGATTCACCATCACCGTCACAAACGTGATCATTCGACAGAGTCGTAACGGAGTTATACGCCCCACTGTTCAACAAGACAGCAAACACTCGTCTCCACATATGTGCTTGCCAATACCGTTTCATGGGAGCTAGAATTCGTATACGTGGCGGCCGTTCACTAGAATCATCCTCACCACTACCATCACTGTTATTTATATTGGAAGTCCATGGATGGACACCAGGTATGATGCTCATCTCATCATCATGCCATTCTTGATGGTCATGAATCTGTGAGGTAGCGTCTACATCGCCATCTTCTTCAACCACATTCATATAGCGTCCGAATAGCAAGACATGGATTACACTAGCAGCACCATACCAGTCTCCTTCATAGCGCCATCCAAGTCCAGTTCGACCTTCCCAGCAATGATAACTAGAGTCACCATAATGCTTTTTGACTCCACCGCCACCACCAGTACGTTTGCTGTTACATGATGTAAACCGTTGATGTGGAACACATCCCCGTATATCAGCTGCTACTCCCCAGTCTGCCATGGTAATGCCATGAGCTGACCAGCCACCAGATCCATCTGTGTGATACCGTGCATCCCATTCGACTGTATCGGAATTATTGGAAGCAGACATGGGGAATCTTACTAGAATATTGTCGGGTTTAATATCATTATGGATCACCCCAACAGAGTGCATAGCTTCTATAGTTCGTAGCAACTCAATGGTCCAGAAGCCTACAAGAAGTTCGTCTACTCCAGCATCTGTTGTACCATATCCCTCACTAGTTGGAAGTGATTTATGTATGCGTTATTCTTGACCAACAAAGCGCCCAGTTGATATAATGAAAGACAATAACGAAATACCTTTTAGAGGCATTCACAACATCCAATAATGTTCCTGGCTCGAGTTTCAGCCTCAACAAACTCTCCTCAGGATATAAATGGAGCGATAGCGGCGTCACAATCGACTTTAGAATTCGTGTGTGTAATCGTTCCCGTAGTATCGTCAGGATATAGAACTCCCAAGAGTTGGCCGGTTTCTAAAGCAAAGTGAAAAAGTCAGTATATAGAAAACATCGAAAACCAACCAGCATTAAAAGAAAATCCAGCAAAGGACAACCCATGTCACATACCTGAACTTTGATAGCACAAAACTCATCATCATTACTGCCGATCTCCGGTTCCTCATCAGAATCAGGCATGGGAGCGATGCGTCTACACATAAAGACACTACCAAATCCACCTTCTCCCAATTTCTTCAATGCAGAGAATGTTCCATACGGTGGTAGCACGATACTAGTATCCATTCCAGAAGGTATTATCGTAGAATCTCTAGAATTCGTTCGCATTCGACTCGCTTGTCGAACAGCTCCTCTGACAGTATGACCACCACTACTACTTTTTGACTGTACACTAGCTTCCAATATCGTCGAGATGAGTTGAGGGTGCGTTCTATCGGATTTACAATCGTAGTATCCAGGAATGGAATCAACTGGACGTGATGCACTCGAGAGCATGGCTGCAAGAGTCTCAGACAATAGCATATCACATGGATTTGATAAATCCGGATATACAACTCGAGCTTTAGAGCGTGGTGTACGTGCTTTTAAAGGTGTTGGAGGTCGTGCTTTACTATGATGAGTATCATCCATATCTGGCTCTTGATCTTCATCACCTTCACCACCATCTTCTTCAGACTCGGTGTCAACACTAGCTATGGAGCTAATACCAGTAATTCCTGGAGCCAGCGTTACGGGTGATGACTGATGGACACCGGCTATACGTCGACTATCAAAAGTATGATGGGTATGATCTACAACGAGACTCGTATTGGCACTTCTACTACTTGCAGTGCTTCGAGAATCCACCGAACGATAAGATCGACTTGTGCGTTCAGGGAAATCAAAAAAGACACGATCTGTCTTGTCATCTGTGGAGGTACCCATGGTACTCCTTCTATCTTCGTCAGATACGTCCGTTATGGGAGTCAGTATATCAAAGCGACGTCCTGCTCCTGGTCGTGAATAATATGGATGAGCGGCTGGTGTCGAAGTGTATAATGGCCTATGCGATTGAGCTAATGGTAATATCGTTGACAGTGCTGCTGAATGTTGTGGAGGTGGTGGAGCCAACTCTTCAGAAGTAGAGTCTACAATTGGCGCTAACGCCGTCCGTTTCTTTATCTTGCTACCACTATTAGCAACAGCAGCATCAGATCCTGCGGCTGCTATACCAACGCTACTACTAGATCCAAAAGCAGCAAACAATTTCAATTTCGAAGAAGGCTGGGATTCAGCAGAAGGAGATGGTGTATGTCTTTCATGGAATGGGTTTGTAGTAGTATCGTCCATTACGGGTGATGATCTCCGTGGTGGAGAAGCTCCCAAGAGTTTGTCACCTAAAGGTTTCGTGATACTACCACCTAACGACCGTTTACTAGCACTAGGTCGCACCACTACAGCATTTTCATCGTTTTGGGGCATGAGAGTCATTTTGGCTTCTCCACCTTTTAGCTCTTGCACCTCATCACCATCATCATCCTCATCGTCATGAAATACACCTAAAGAAGCTCCACTAACAAATTCTCTCTTAAACACTTTTGATGAGATGGTTTCATCTGGTCTAGCATCCAGCTCTTCATCAGGAAGAGGCTGGCTCCACATATTCATGACATCTGCAAAGGCTTCTTTCGTATTTATTGTTGGTGATGGTGCAAAGGACTTTTTTCGAGGAATGGTCTGCGTCAAATCGTATTTTATACATCGAGTCTGATCATCTAGACTTGTTGGTGAAGGGATGATCTGATACTTTGGTAGTTTAGCTCGCATTTCTTCAAACGAGACTTCAATACTGTTAGGAGGGTGTGCCAAGTCCATGTTGAAAGCATATCTTTGAGATGCTGGTGCTTTGACCCCCTTGTCCTTGACATCTACTTTGTGCTCATTCCTAGTTAGTTCAGGTCTCGAAGTGGCTGGCGGAGGTAGTGGTCTGGAGAGTGTGACGTCTAGAGCTGCTAACATTTCACCAGTAGAGGCTATGTGGCAATTTTTTGAGGCAGGGAAAAAAGAGAGCAGCAAATGGGCTCATTGTTCACCTGCACTGAGACTACCACCACTTGTAGCACCTCCTTCTTTCAGCTTTAATGGAGCCTGAGATGGTGCGCTAGGCACACGTATCATATTCGCTTCCTAAATCATGATCTGCATCAACCAAAAAACAACATCCGAAACAAACTAAAGCAATGTTGATGAACTCACATCATCTCGAAACACCTCAAACTTCTCCTTAGCAGCTGCCTTCTTACTCTTCCCAGCACCACCAACAGACTGCTGAGGAAGTATTTGTCCCTTCCAAGCAGTAGTCTGCGGTTCGTTCTCCTTGCGTAACGAAGCGCGACCTCCATATTCCGGCCACGGATTACTGGATGCTGCGGTAGGCATGACCGACAATGGTGGATCTACCTGTTTATATACAGGGACTTTTTCAGGTGCCTTATTGCTACCACCACTACTACTAGATTTAGGTTCTGGTTGCTGCTCTACAACAGCTGGTCCAGACCTAGCTTGCAATGCCCGTCTACCAGCATCCTCATTCATCGCACTCTGTGTACCCCCACCCGTAACAAACTCATCACCCAACACACTCGCCCCAACACCCCGCTCCCTCGCCCTCTCAAACCGTTCCTGAAACTGTCTATACTTGCGCGCAAGCCTGTCAGCCGGCTCAGCACGTCTCGCAACCCCCAACTGATAAATCTCATCCGCATTATACCACAATCCCAAACTCTCCATCAAGCTAGCATACTCTTCATAGTAACCGGCCAGTCCAGTTCCAATCTCATTGACAGACAAATATTTAAACACCTCTTTAGGATCCGTAGCTTGTTTGGCCACCATTATCCACATCTTGAGATACCGGATATCGTTCTTGTAGCGTCCATCTTTACGAAAGAGACGTACGGCACGTTCAACGGCTTTAAGGAGTTCGGGTGGTGATGAAGATGTGTGTGTTGATTGTATCCATGTGATGTATCTATGGTGGATGTCGAGCGGGTCGTCGACGTCGTCTGGTTGGGTTGTGATTTCGTGTTCGTATTTGAGGCGTTCTTCGGCGAGGTGTGCTGCGAGGGTGGTGGCATCTGATGATGTGTAGAGTTGCGAGAGGGTTGCTGCTCGTCGGCCTTTGGCTAGAGGTTGGATGTTTTCCTTTTCGGGTGAAAAGGACTCTAATGTTGGGATGTTGGCCATGTGTTCAGATCGTGAGGGTTTATAGGTGATATGCGATTCGATTCTAATTCAATAAGGATATGAGTAAATTGTCTGAAGTCGCAATTCCAGGTTCTCCACTGCAGTTTACGCCTCTTTGTCAGAAAACCATGACTTGTTACAAACCAAACACAGCTGATTGACAGCTTACTTTACAATGATATGAAGACGGGATCAGTATCATATAATAACTGTTAATCCATTTATCGTCGCTCTCTTCGAGTCTGTCTTTAAGGTCAATTGCTGCAAAGATGTTTGGAGAAAGTCTGGAGAAAGCAAAGGTTCATTAAGTAAAGACCACTTTCCAAAATTGGCATTTAATTCACACAAGTTCTGGCGTCTTTCCTGTAACGCTGACGCGATTAGTACCAATGGGATATGGCTTACAAGGTATATATTGTCACATTTCGACTACTTTGCGAAAAAACATCTACACCTACCAATACGTAATTTTGTATTAGGACAAACACAATCATCTCCACCACTCGCAGTACTGGATAATTTGACAGATACCCAATAGACGCAACTGAAAGGAACACATCGAGAAGCGATCTTGTGTTGTTGCTCGTCAAAACTCAGATGGTAAGTCGTCAATGAGCTGTGCTGATGAGCGAAGTAAACCCTATATGCTAACTAGTGCCAATAATATCAATAGCACCACCTGCCGCTCGACGACAACACAGGAAAAGTGGACTATCGCAACTCCCAGCAAGTGATTCTTTGGACGATGTAAATGTCATGCCATTGGGTGTTCGAGGTTAGTTTGTTTCTTGTCTCTGAAGGCCATCGCTGAAATAAATATCATTCATTATACGAATTGTTGTCTCAATCCCTTCCTAACATATTCTAACAAGAATCTCGTCCATTTCTTGTCACCATATGTTTTCCTAGTCAACTGACCGTTTCAGTTGGTGCTGTCTATGTTGGAGAGTACGTGTCTGGCATCAATAGTGTCCGTCAGTTGGCTTGACGTCAACATGGACATGTCAGCAACCTCGACGTTGTCCAGGCAGTGAACGAAACGTTGCATGCCTTCGAACCTCTTGGTGAGCAAAATAAGTTTTCATTTGTTGCCACAGTTTGAACTAACTTCAAAGTTCTCGGCTTTAGGGTCAGATCCGAAACTCAGAAATGACAACATTTCATATGCGCAAACCATTGGTTTGCCTCCAGTGCTCTCATCTGGTGGTGGACTGCTTTCACGCTTGTTAAGATGGTGGTATAACTAGAGTTCACACCCCAGCATCCCTCTATAAATGGTACCCTCGGCTTTGTTCGTATAAATTGCAAGGAGAAATAAAAAGGCACCTCACAAGAGACTGCTAAAATGTGGTTCACACCTTTCGTGACGGATCCTACTAATTTCTTTTCTGTAACGCGTCGCTTAGAAGGCGGCAATTATCAGAAAATTTTGGCATTCGCTCCACGGTGTAGAGCTTCAAGTTTCCAAAACACATTCAGAACGCGATCAGATTGATTACATGCACTCGATAAAAAGAGATTTCTACGCGAAGCTTACTTTTTGCGTGACTCACTTGGCTCTGCATTCTGCATTTCGTCTGGCGAAAGCGCAAAGAGTGTTCGTCAACGCCAGAACTTCTGGAAGAGGTACGAAACCTCGGTTGCTTCATGGCATATAGAGCTAACAGGGCGCGTAATTCTCAACATCTGAACTGATATGTCATATATATTTTGAACTATTAAAGGGACAAACTTGACAAGTTCACTAAAATAACCGAGCTCCTCATCAACAACTCCTTTAGAAAGAGAAATCAATGATATAGAGCAGAGCAATCATGGGGTAAAAATTTAAAGAAACAACAAAGAGTTACAATTTTGTTTTAAACAGAGTGGGGGTAAGTTTTGTTGTTGTGTGCATTTGATTTTCTTGCTAAAGTTGTTGCAAAGGTATGTGCCAAATGGTGAATCATCTTCCGTCCATTTCTGTCTTTTCTGTCTTATACAGCCTCTAGCTGTCGTGGCCTTTTCCTTAGCGGACCTTCCGACTCTTCCAACCCATGATAGTTTTTGGGCGTCGGGGGCGGAGAGAGACCATCTAGACCTCCTAAGGCCGTCAAATCATCTATACATTGAATTATAGATAATTGTAAGAACAAAAAGAATAGTGCAAGACTTTAAGGCCAAGCCAAGCTATGTCCCACTGCACTCACCAACATCCTTCAAAGTTTCCTCAAGATTAACTAGAACAGAGTCCTCATCTTTACCATTTACATGTTCACCATTGGCAGAAAGGATATCTCCTCCTGCTTCCTCCTCATCATCATCTTCAACAATGAAGCCCATTCCCCATCCCTTGCCAGTATTCAATGGCAACCCAGCATCAACATCAGCAATACCTTCAATACTATTAGTACTACCGCTACTACTGCCAATAAGACCATTAAGGAGATCTTGTCCGGTGGTAGTCGGCCCATTAACCAGCTGCTCTAAATCTTCCGTCCATGATGTAGCCCATCCATCTCGACGTTCAGACAAGCTTCCAAACTGTGCCGTCATCATGGCACCGTAAGCGGTTGGATCGGTGACTAGACGACTCAAATCTTCGCCCATCTCTCCTAGATAATGCGTAGCATCTTCGTACATTTTACCATTCTTTGATAGGCCAATGTTTTGTAATTGTGGAGTAGCTGATATATCGGTAGCTGGAGTCATTTGCGGTGCTGGAGGCATACCAGCAACAGCTACTGCATGATTTTGTAATGCCTTTTCAACCTGTTTAGCTTGTGACAAGAATGGCCGATCAGAGAAGCCTAGTCCAGTACCCAAAATAGGCGGTGGAGTAGCACCTGTTTGCACCTGTGGTATGATTGTTTGACTACCATCGCTCGTCTTTCGAGACGGTGATGGTCTAGATGTTGAGAAGGTATTGTTGACTGCTTGAGTTGGTGGCGGTGCAGGGCGATATGCTGGTCTACCGGCTATGGCAGGCGGTGTACCAGGTAGTACCTGCTGTCCTGTTCGACCACCAGCAGCATTCGGTTGGCCCATTTGAGGTCGCATCCCTATTGATCTCATCTGTGCTTGAGCCATCAACATCTGAGCTTGCGTAGCAACTTGATTGGTACTACTAGATACATTTCCGGGTATACGAGGTGGCGATGCTGCAGACTGTGCTGGTGGCGTGGATACTTGTTGAATATTTCGGTTTGGTGGCATTATTGGTGTTTGCGCTGGTGATGGTAGAGCCGCTCCTCCTCCACTCTTCAGATTATACTGGTCTACATATTGGAGCAACTTTTGCATATTGGTTTTTAGTTGATTTGCCATGAATGAGTTCAAGTAAAACACTTGAACAGGCTTCTGCAATCCCTCGTACTGATCCTTCATCATACGTTTCTATTGTTTGTTAATGGAATGGTTAATTATCGTAATCCCATTGGTGGAGCTCGAGGTATACATAACATGGTTTGATTGCTGCACGAGGTGAAAGTACAAACGAACCTACCATTTGTATGATTTTAGTCATCTTGTCTCGACCAGCGTCACCATTCTGAGGAAACATCTTTATGACTTCATCAATCTTGCCATATAATGGTTGAAGCTCTTGCATCTATTGGTTTAGTTTGTGGTCAGTGACTTGAGCTGTGTGAACGAAAAACACTTGTCACAACAGTCGGAATGCCCTCGAGCAGTCCTCGATAACAATACCAACCACCAACAGCAACTTACAATCTGAATAACTTGCTGCGACTCCACAGGAGACAGACTCCATTCCGTCAATCGAATACTACCATTAGCAACACCACCATTTGCAGCTGCATTATTGTTGGCATTCATAGCATTATTATTATTATTATTAATGACTTGCTGACTCTGTGCCTGTACTTGACTGACTACTGCAGCAACAGCAGCAGCAGATGAGGTAGCTGCATTGACGGTACCAACATTGACTGAAGTTACATTCGGACTAGGTCGATACTGTTGGTTTGTTGTTCTTGGTGCTGTAGATGTATTATTAGGTCGATTGTTCGTGGCATTATTATTGTTTGTTCGTTGTTGTTGTTGCTGTTGTTGTTGCTGCTGTTGAGGTAATAATTGTTGTTGCGCGGAGGATACTACATTAGAGGTCCCAGCTCCCAAGGAAGCCAGAGAAAGCGGTTGCTGCTGTTGATTTTGTAAAGCAGCAGCCAATTGTGCATTCTGTTGTAACTGGGCATTCTGTTGCTGTTGTTGCATCAATTGAGCCAGTTGTGCAGACTGTCCCGCATGTTGCTGCAAATAGTGCTGAGGCTGCATTCCAGTGGCCAGTATAAAGCTCTGTATAGCAGCTTGTTGTCTAGGATCTACAGTCTGGCCAGCATCCAACAAATTCTGTACTCGTAAAGCACCTTGAGCAGCGGCCAACAATCGAGCTTGTTGTTGCTGTTGTGGTGTCATGGCTGCTCTGGCGGCATTACGTTGTAATATATTTAATTGCTGTTGAGCAGTCAAGCCTTGCTGAGCTGCTTGAGCTTGTAATTGTTGCTGCTGTTGTTGTAATTGTGCTGCCAAGACTGCTGGGTTTAGCAGATCGTTGGAGGATAGTACAGGAGCCTGCTGAGCGGCCTGCAAGGCAGCAGCAGATGCTTGTTGCTGTGCCTGTGCTTGTCCTTGTACTATTGCGAGTTTAAGATTAGAAAAGTCGGAGGAAAATGTGAGTTTTTGTGTGGGAACTAACCCGTCAGTTTCTGACTAATGTTGGCAACTTTGTTCTGAACTTTCATAGAGTAGTCCTCCTGAGGAGTATCGATAGAGTCAGTATACCACTATTAGAATATCCCAAATGTCGTTCCTACCTTGCTGGTAGCCTTGTCATAGATCTGTTGTTCCACTTGACGAGCCAAGTCGTTAATCCTTTGCTCGTTCCGTTGTTTTTCAGGCATACCATTCCGAACGGTAGTTATACTAGTATAAGCAATATATCAGTCATGCTATATCAGTCATGCTTGAATCAATAAACATTCAAGATGGGGTTTCAGTTCGAACGAAGTCAAGGTTCAGTCTACACATACAGCGAGTTGATAACAATCTGACGTTCAGAAGCAGAAAGGGTGCCTCTCCAATCCAATGTCTGCTGCACAGGTTGCGGCTGCGACTGTTGTAGTGACTGAAACAGCTGAACTTGTTGAGCGAGTGGCATGTTTTGGATGAGATTCGCAGGGAGGCCATTTGCTTGAATGAGCTGAGTGAGAGCATTACTCAGTCTATTAGCCTGCTGTTGTTGTAAGAGAAGCTGTTGCTGCTGCAGAGCAGCCTGATTAGACCCAACAGCAACTCCACTAGAAAACTGGATGCCATTTATCGAGTTGTTGTTTTGCTGCTGCTGTTGAGGTTGTTGGCCGGTGGAGCCCGTAGAAGCGAATAGGTTGTGTAGAAGATTGGCATTGCCATCTTGTCGACCTGCCATTGCCTTGCTCTTCTAACTGTTATATACAAGGGAGTTTGTTTCCTGTTTCCTTTCTCCTACTTTGGTGGTCTCCAATCACAAAATTGTAATTGCAGGTTACCAGCTGTGGGGGTGTCTGATATCCACTAGGCGAACGTGTTCTATGGTCCTCTCCCTTCCCTGCGAGCTGTTTATATGAATGCTTTTTTTAGTGCGAACGTGACCAACTTGTCTTCAAGCCACTCACGAATTCGCAAATAACTACCCAGTGGATCTCAATAAAAAGCAGTCCGCTCGTGTATGATAGTGACTATATTCTATATCTATGCTTAGAATTCTCATCAGAAACAAAATTGTGTGGCAACTTGGTTTCGCACGACGCTGAACAAAAAAAGAAACACCACTCCCTTTCATTACGTCTCTACTGGTGACATTCCTGGCATAATATAACGAGAAATTGGTTGCGGTTGAACCATGTGTCCAATAGGAACATCAATAATGGAATGCATACATACCACAACATCTTTCCGGGAGAGGTATACCAAAGCCATGTTGTAGGCGATCTGTTAGCTAACCAAGCTTCATCATCCGAGACAGAAACAGCAAAGACACATCATGCAAACGGTTTCTATATAATACATACATGTCTTTTCTATGTATACATCCCTCTTCCACCTATTTCGGAAGAGTTGCCGATGCAATCCATTCAGACGCCTTTTCTTGATCATCGTTCGCCATTGTTAGCGCCCTGATGCCACTAGACAATGGCACACGATAAATCACAGACAATTCATCAGCCATCTTCCGTCTCTTGTTGACTGCTGCATCTGCGACACAAAGATAGCATTCCGGGTTTGACTGATTTACAAGCGCGGATTTCTTGACCATGGTGAGAGCTTGGACAGCGGATTCAGTTGCGTCTGGTTCCTCTGATGGTTTGAGGAATGTTCTACAGTGCTGGGTGAAGGCGGTGAAGGTTGAGCACACAAGCGAAGAAAAATTGTCTAAAACGCAAGAATACCTGATTCAGACAATGAGACCTCCCACATCCTCGTGTCATTTGATTATGATATGTTTCTAGCAATTTCTACCACCAAATTACAGATATTTAGTATTCATACAACAAGGAGTTTCCCAACCGAAGCTAACCTGCGCAAGTCTCTTGTTTCCTTCATCAAGACGAGGCGACCAAAAAGGTGCAAAGCAGCTTTGACACAGTTTAAGAGTATTTGGATACTGTTCCGAAACTGAATTGCTGCATTCCACATTCGAACACAGCTTGATTGTTGGTCCAGACATGACCATAGCTCTCTTCTCCAAATCATGTATCTTCATATGTGATGTAACCTCCTACAAAACAGATGAGTATGCGTGAGCAAGGTAAATATCCTGCCGCGAATATTTTTGTTTTTTGGTTTCTCACCTTGAGTTGTACAGGTTTCTTGCAAGTCACACACTCAATAGTCCTCGCACCACACTCACTCTCATGTTGGCTCAACTGCAATCCCAATGTCCAATCCTTGACTGACGTAGACGGCGGTCCAGCCTTGAGTCGTAGATGACAGTATTTACATATAATGTATCGGTCTGGACATGATTCTCGTTTATGTTGAGCCAGTTCAGGTAAGGTAAGTGACTTGCCACATGTACATGAGAGTGGAGTATGTATCCGACTCATATGTTTATCCATTTCTGATATGTTTCCTGCCTATTGCAAATAGTAAATTAGCAGCAGTCTTTTTTTCGCAGATGCAAGTACAGAAGTCCAATCATACCATGTCACACTCATCACAATGCCAATGCGAAGCATAATCACCCTTTTTGAATACTTTCTTACACCTGCCACAATACGCATTATTCCTCAAACAGAATGCTTCATGCATTGTGATTGTGCGTTTCGGAATCCTTTGCAAACAGTTCGAGCATGTAGTTTCATCGTCATTAAGTGGTGGCTCATCAACTGGCATAGCGAATACGTCTACTTGAGCACGCGGTGCAGGTGCTTCATTCGTTGGCCTTATAGTCAAGCTATACTTTGCTTCTACATTCGACGCACTACGTATCCCAGAATATATCATGGGAAGACTTGGATCCATGTTCGATGATGAGATGTGAGTTGACGATGATGATTTTGACTCTACGTTATAATAATCATGATCAAGTTCTGATGGGCGTGCCTGCTGCATAGATATGAACACGTCGATATCTCCACTGATACGTTCAATATCAACTATATAGTGCTCGTAATTCGGTAATGGTTTGATCTGATGGTATACATATGCATTAGGATGCACCGATGCAGATATACTAGCTTTAGGCTCTGTATTAGACGTCCATTGCAAAGTGACATTATTTGTTGTTGGTGCTGAAGCAGCGAGTTTCGACTTCACGGCCTTTTCCGCTTGTTGAGCATCTAATGGTTCGATATCTACTTCGACGTCTGTGTTGATTATGAGAACGCCGTCTCCTGAGGGTTTGAAGTCTGCTACTAGGAATTGGAGTGGTGTCGTTTCGTTCACACCCGTAGATGGATTCCTGATACTGTATTCGATGGTGATTGTTTCGCCACGTGTTAACGTAGCGTAATTTCGTCGCAGGTTGGCTTCCAATGTCGCTCTAGTTCGAAAGACAAAAGGAGTGATAAGAGAGCGTGTCGCAATGCGTATTGAATCGAACATATGCTTTGAGGAACGGGTCCACCATGTCGTATTTAGACGAAAACACTCGTCATGAAACAAGTTTCCATTTCAAACTTTCACCAAACCACCGTACCTCATATCCTGGATCTGCAAATATCCTTCGTCCAAAGGCACGATCTTCAATGACTCAGCCTTCGGAAGCTCGACCCACTTCACATGCACCGTATCTCCATTCGTCGATTCCAAACTCGATGCCATGTTTACAGATACATGAACTGCGGAATCCAAGGCAGTAAACTCCTTGACAGATCCATAAATACGTCGTCTTCCTCGAGAAATCAAAAATTGAAGTGGTGTTGGCAGTGTGTTTTCACCTGCTAGATTCAAGATTTCGTTGAGCAGAGAGACTGGCAGTATAAGGCGATCTCCAGATAGTGTCGGATCTACTTGGACTTGTAAATGTCTTATGAAATGAGGAATCTCCATTGTGCTGGGTGTGAGGAATTGTTATGGTCAAAGTGGTAGTGTAAAATGTTTGCAGTCAGTTCTATGAACACGCAAGCGTTGTGTTTGATTTGTCAGTTTTGGAAACAACCAGAACGAATCAGCGCACGAGACGGATGGGTATTCATGAATTCACGTATATTTTATTCAATGAGCTCAATTTTGGCATTTCTTAAAACTTTATCAACAGTGAGGTTGTAAATCGCGTCCAAAAAAGACATGCGAAAGCTTTGAGGACCCGCAACTCCCTTCGTATCAGCCAACTCTCCTGCGATACCATATGCTACCAAAGCGCTGACGGCTGCCACTACACGATCAGGCTCGACCGCAGCAAAACAAGCAGTGACAGCCGTCGCGGAACATCCACTACCAGTAAACGTTCCCATCCAATGCGACCCATTACGTACTTGCACTACTCTAGTCCCATCACTGATTGTATCGACAGCTCCAGATATAGCTATGACAGCTCCAGATCGCTTTGATAGTATTTTCGCAACTAGTCCTGGATTTGCTAGTGTTCCTACAGATTCCACACCACGGACTTGCAGTCCTGGTATGTCCCCTGTAATCGCAGCTATTTCTCCTGCGTTTCCTTTGATGATACTGAGCCTATGAGTCGTGATTAAATCCAGGCAGGTTTTGGTACGGAAGGGAGTTGCGCCAGCTCCCACGGGGTCTAGTACGATGGGGATGGACATCTCGTTTGCCTGAAAGAGAAATATTTGAGTAAAATCAGTGATCATTCGGCGTAGGCGAAGAAAAAACACAATCTCGTAGGCGAAATGGAAGTAATTTGTCTTACCTGCTTTGCTGCTGCATGCATGCTCTCAATCCATTGTGGAGACAATGTTCCAATATTGATTACGAGGGCATTCGAGATCTTGGTGATGTCTGCTGCCTCCTCCAAGCAGTGGGCCATGACAGGTAGTCCACCAATAGCCAAGACTGCGTTAGCTGAGATCTGAACACAAAAGGAAAACTTGTGAAAACCTTGTACTTGAGGTTTAAAATGAAACACGGCACACACCTCCATAGCAACAAAATTCGTAATATTATGAACCAGCGGCTTCTTCTCCCTCAAATTCTTAAAAGCCTCCCCAATCTTCAAAATAAACTTGTCCGTCTCACTCGTACTGGGCTGCGAATAAATGCCAGCAGCATTAGGCTTGACTTGTGCCAACAGCGCGGCAGCAGCAGCTTTGGGATCCTGTTGTAAGGTAATAGCAGATACAACTGCTACTCCATTCAACTTTACTTGGGTTCCATCAGCACGGGTAACGATACATCCACGCATGACTTCACCGACATTATCGATTTTGATACCTCCAATGGTTACAATGGGGATATTGAGTTCTTTGACTTGCTCCATGATGGCTTTTACACCTGGAATTCCGAGGCATTGAAAGCCTGGCTTGTGGATTTTTGTGACGGTTGGGAAGATTGCGGCGGTGCCCAAGTAGTCTGCCGAGTTTCGGGCAGCTTCGAGTGCTTGTGCTATTTGGGAAGCGAACAGTAAGTTTGGAGTTGCCAACCCAAACCACAGCAACACCATCAGGGTATTGGAGAGCTCAAGTAGTTGAATACGTGCTTTCCACAGTCTACCATGCGATGGACATACCTGGAGTCTCAGCAGTAACACCAATAATCTTGTCAGGTCCCAATAATTTTCGTACAGCAGTCAAAGGCATATCATCCTGCCCAATATGTACTCCATCGGCATCAATTGCGAGAGCCACATCAATTCTATCGTTGATCAACTATGAACGAGCAAAAGAGTTCCTCTGAGTTTCAAAACGGAACATCATCAAATGTTGCAATAATTTACCAATGGAACACCAGCTTCCTTGCAAATGGCCTTGATGGAGCGAGCCAATTCAATAAAGGCACCAGTATCCATCTTCTTTTCACGGAGCTGGACTAGTGTCACTCCTCCAGCAATAGCTTCCTTTACCATTTCACCTATGGAGCCTACCCCAAGAAGCTCGCTATCTGTTACGAGGTAGAGGGAATAGTCCACTATCGGTTTCATCGTTGTTTACAAGGTTACAACAAGATTCAGATGCTGAGGTCCCTGAAATGTAGAAATGTAGAAAGTAGAAATCCTGAGTGTAGTACGAAGCTAGTTATTATATCCCTTTGCTCTAGTGTCGAGCCCGGTGGAAGGAGCTGGCTATCTATTACGAGATAGAGCGAGTAGTCTCCTACGGGCTTCATTGTCTTGCTCTTTGTTGGTAGAGTGGTCGCTGAGCTTCTAAGCAATATATGGGTTTGGTTTTAAGAGGGACAAGGCATCGAGCAGCAATAGCGAAAATAAGCATATTGAATTCGCGTATTGCATGGAAAGCCCTCCAATGCGAACATCTTCTTTTCAAAGTGCATCCAACGAGCACCAATTCGAACTGTCGAGGAATGAAAGCTAAAACGAAGATCACCAAGTCAAAACCGTATAGCTCCAGACGACGCATTTGTATTACTGATTTGGACAATATCCTTTACCTTCAGCTTCACCACAGTTCCAATCTGGGACTGAACTTTGGTCTTGCGTCGCATTCCATGTAGTGTCAGTGCAACCACGATTTCGACGTGTTTGAGCAGCGTTTCAATGTATCCTAGTCTCCATTTTACACTTCTTGCCTTGGAGAGCCAGCTGGTTGATATATGCAACTTCAACTAACAAACTCGTCATCCAGGGGTTTCAAACTAACTCAATATTTTGATTGCGAAATTACAATTTAGCAGGTGTAACTTCAGCCGCTTCAACAAGTGTGTACTCTGAGCCTTCCACGTGGGGAAAACGATGGAGAACACGTCCTTCGTCTACAAGAAATCAAACATTAGCCTCCTAACAAATCCCAAAATGTCACAAACCACATCATAATACTTACGGACTTTAGCAAACTCAATAGCCGATCCATTAATCTTTTTGTTTTGGATTGGAAGCAGGAAGCAATCAACGATATCATTCATTGGTGCCCAGCCCTTGAACGCTTCAGCTGCTCCACTGAAGCGTGCATTCAGTTCTTCAGCTGCTGTGGATGCATCTCCGACGAGTGGTGGTGTAGATGGTTGAGTCATTTGGGTGTGGACGATTCCTACATTGTGGATGCTTGTCAGAAAATTGTGGTTGAAACAACAGTGAGAGGATAGGTTCTATACCTGGGTGAACGGAATTGAATTGCATTCCTTCAGGGTAGCTAGCACGGCCCATCATTTTTTCACTGAATACGTAGTGTGGCAGGGATACTGTGATACCGGTGACGGCCCATTTGGAGGCACAGTAGATTGCTGGGTCAGCTGCGTATAGACCGGCGATTGAGCTAGTGTTTACCAAGTTCTGTTTAAAGGGTGTGTGGATTAGTCGACAGTACTTGTGGCAAGTTCAAGAGATACGACTTTGACAGTTTGAGGAAACCCCACCCTAACGATAACTTACGATGGGCTTTTTGAGTTCCAAAGCTGTCTGTAAAGTGCACCATGCGACGTGCAGGACACCGGTAGAGTTAACATCAATGACCTTCTTCCATCTGCTGTATTGTACATCGGGACCAAAGTTACCAAACAATCCAGCATTATTAATGACAATCTAGACCCCAATACGTTAGTATGTTACACTCGGAAGGTAATATTCAATCAACCTACATCAAGACGGCTGTATCGTCTTATGATTTCTCGGAAGAGTGCTTCCACTTCATGAGTCTTTGTGACATCAACGCGTAAGAAGAGAGCACGGTCTTTTCCGTATTTGCCTTCCAAAGCCTCTTGAGCTTCAGAACCGGCGGCGTCGAGCACATCGGTCATAACGACGGTAGCGCTATACAAGAGGTGAAATGCGTGAGTCTAATACATAGTGTCCTTTCCACTCGAGAGATATGCATACCCCAATTCACAAAGAGTTGCTGCGACATTGTAACCGATTCCATCTTTACGAGATGCGCCTGAATATTCAAAAAGGAAGTAGTGAGCGAGAGTTACAATCACCAGTCCTGCTTCAATAAACTCACCAGTCACTAGCGCAATTTGGCCCTTCAAGTTGATTGACGACCGGTCGACTTTGGGTGACTGATTCGCGGGAGTCAAGGTAGCCAACAATTCAGGTATCAATCTGTCAGTGTTACGAGGAGTTGAAGACCCGTCGATGTGTGGGAAGTGCAAGATGTTTGGTTTGAAGTTTGCATCGACGTTATTGCATTCAACTGCGGCTCCGTTCAGGGTTTCGTCTTCGACGATTCTCATGTAGCAATCTCCTATTTTAGAGACTGGGAAGGAATGCAAATTATTAGCTCGGCCGTCTTTCAGAGTGCTTCGGGTGGGCCGAGACGACGATATCCGGCATGTCAAACAAAATAAGGCAACTCCACAATTCGTCCAAGAATTTCAAAACTACAAAAGAACACTCATCTCTGTACCTGGTATCCATGGTCCGTACTGCTCAAAGAGTCTGTGCATGACTTCCATTCTAGCGTTGAATTCTGCGGGATCAACACCGATTGGAGCTTTTGGATATGTGATTGGGGTAGCTACCGGTCCAGGACACCTATATCACGACGACGTGTAAGAACGACAGGAAACCGTCTGACATTAGCAGAACACAGAGAGCTAAAATGTAACAAAACCACAAACACAGATACATTGGGTCCAACTTACACACTGCCGAAACGAATACCAGCTGGGTATGGTACACCAGCTTCGCGTTGAGCATCCACGTATCGTGCAACAGACGCCATGAATCCAACAACAGCAAACTTGTTGGCACTGTATACATTCAAACTTGAGGGCAAAGTTCCAGCCATACTGGCAGTAGACGCAACTATCACTTTACGTCCTGATCGTTTAGATTCTTCCAAAGCGAGCCAAGTTCCGTGGCAGACTGCGACCAAGTTGAGGTCCATTGCGTTCTTCCAAGATGAAACAGGAGAATCTTGACCAAAGCCGGCACCAACACCAGCGTTGTTGCACATGATATCCAAACGGCCAAATCTTGCGACAGTTTCTTTGACGACACCTTCCAATTCACTACCCGACAGGAATAGATTTCGTGTTAGTACTCCACAACAGCTGATCCAAACAGGTTTAGGAGGAGCAGTGTTTGTGCTTGATCCAAACAAGGTAAGAAAAAACCGATACTCACTGTTGTTGAGTGATGTCGGCACGTAGGAAAAGTGCTCTCTTTGGCCCGAACTGGTTTTCTAGCAAAGCTTGGGATTCTTTGCCAATCTTTTCTAAAACGTCGGTCATGACGACTGTAGCACCACAAGACAACAATCTTTTCGTGACTTCGAAGCCAATGCCTAAAGATGTAGTGCGAAAACGTTAGGATCAAACCGCTCCAAACGTTTAAAGTGCTCAAAAACGTGAGTGCACTAATGCGGTCACACAACATTTGCTCCCTCATCACTGACCTGTTTGGGCAGAAGCTCCTGTAACTATAGCTACTTGACCCTTAAGATTAGGTGCCATCTCGTAATAAATTTGTTTTTTCAGTAGAAATAGGTACGGTTCTGTGTGTTGGAAATGAAGATCCGACAAAAAGTAACAACCAAGTTTAGGAGGAAAGGAAGAGCCGGTACGTTGAATTCAAGCGACAGTACAGATTCCGGTAGATATTTGACAGGCGTTGCATAGGCGACACTGAGAAGGCATTTGGGCTCGCCTCCGAATTTTTAAAGCTCCAGACACTCTGACGATGCGAGGAGCAGGAGGAGCAGCAAACAGAATTCTTGATGCGCGAAGCTTGGGATTGATACTACGTTTCATTGCTCGATTAATGTACATATAATCCAGTCCGTGCATAGATCTCAGTAGATCTAGCCTTGACTTGTATATCCGCAACCTTACAAGCTTGATCTAAAAAAGAGATGGCCTATGATGACTTTGGAGATTACATGAAGGAAAAGCATCGAAAGGTAAGGGTTTCCTAGTTAGAAGCATTGATCTAGATACCATACTAATTGATCTTCCTCTTTCGTCCTCTAGTTGCAAGAACAAAGTGCTCACATGTAAGAACATTAAACATCGATTCAAGCAAACGTCAACAGTGACTTGCAAAGAAACAAACAGTTACAACAGTTGATAAAATGAAGGATCTGATTATCTGAAGCATTATTGAGAACAAATCTGTATCTTGCGTGGACTGAAGCTCTGACTTCGCTCACAATTTAAGTTTTTCACCACCTTAGTGCTCAAACCCAGAAGCAATCCAACATCTTTGCAGGAATCATTGTTTACTTTGACGGCCATGTCGGTGATATGACAATGACGGACTTGAAAGAGCTCTTTCTTCTACACGGAGGACTAGTACACGATAAATTGACACCTCAAGTCACCCATATAATCGCGACAACCATGACGGATACGAAGATGAAGCAACACAGACGGCCTGTCGTCACACCGTCTTGGATTTTGGAGTCTATTGAAGCGCAAAAGCTGCTTTCATATCTCAATTATCGATTGTATTCTCTCCTAGCACCATCACAGAGCACGTTGTTTACTACTGGTAGTACAACAACTACTACCAAAAGTAGGAGTCATATGTTTCTCTCGTCATCTTCGTCGTCGTCGGTACCAAACACGTCGAAAGCAACGTCGAGTGAAACACAGCATAGTGCAAAAGCAACGGCATCGCGGGACAATGACGGTTTCCTGAGACCACTTCCAAAGACTCCTACAAAAGTCGTCAATAATCTATCAGATAGCTTGGTAAAGACACCCACGAAAGCTAGCACGAATGCAGATATTGAAGACGACGACTCGGAGGAATCTGATGAGGGAGATGATAGTTGGTTTGGTCCGAAGCCGGATGTGGATATGAATAGTGATTGGGTCAAGGCTAACGTTTGTACCGGTAATTGAGTTTTCTGAAACGTATGAGGCCATCGATTATGACTTTACTCATGCCTCTTTTGTTCGCAGCTCCTGGCTTCTTGGACAGATACTTTGCAACTTCTCGTCTCCACTTCCTGAGCACATGGAAGCAGGACTTAATAGACTTTGTCATTGCCGAGAAAGCAAACATGGAAGTCTTGCCGCCCGACTCTCCATTCTATCCGAGACCAGCCAAACCAACTGCTAAACAGCCCAAGCTGAGAACTATAGCTCATATTGATATGGATTGTTTCTTTGCCAGTGTGCATATACGAGATCATCCAGAATTGGCAAACAAGCCGGTAGCTGTCGCGCATTCGAGTGGTCTCGGTGGGAAGAGTACATCAGAGTTGGCGAGTTGTAATTATGTTGCCAGGTACATGCCTGTTTTGAATACCTTTTATCTTTTCAATGTCACATTTTGTCCCCTTCATTAAAGCACTTGTTTTCTTAGGTCGCACGGTATAGCCAACGGAAGTAGTGTAGGAAAAGCTCGACAATTGTGTCCAGACCTACAAGTAGTTCCTTACGAATTCGACAAGTATGACGAAGTTTCAAGGAAACTGTATCGTACACTTCTGGCCGTCGCTGATGAAGTGCAGGCTGTATCTTGTGATGAAGGTATCATATACAATGTTCTCGAATGTTGGACAACTTGACGCTGATACCGTATTTTTGTTGGTTAACAGCTTATATAGATGTCTCGTCAAGAATAACGGGCAGAGGACAAGGTCAAGAACTGGCTTTGGCTAACTTGATTCGTGCCGAAATTCGTAAAGAGACTGGATGCCCAGCATCTGTTGGTATTTCAGAATCGCTGGTCGCTGCTCGAATGGCTACAAAGAAGGCTAAACCGGATGGTGCATTTTGGGTTGGTGGTATCGAGACTCCACGATTCATGGAATCTGTCAAAGTTGATGATTTACCTGGTGTTGGATGGGGGACTAAAAGAAAATTGGCAGATATCAAAGTCACCACATGTAAAGAATTGAGCAGTCTTGGTCTTGGAGCTATCCAGAACCAAGTCGGTGACAAGACTGGGCAGACCCTGTTTAATTTCGCGAAAGGAATTGATACAAGGGTCTTGGTGAATAAGCCTCGACAAAGTATTGGGGCTGAGATTAATTGGGGTGTGAGGTTCCAAAATGATGAGCAAGTTGAGGTAACTGGTCTCTTAGAGAATCGTTGCCTTAACGATAGTTTTTTGACAGACTTACAACATAACGCCATTCTAGACCTTCTTCGATCAATTGGCTGAGGAAATTCACAAGAGAATGACCCGATGTCGTGTTAAAGGCAGACACATCCATGTCACTCTCAAGAAGAGATTGTATGAAGGCGAACCTCCGAAGATCTTAGGTATTCGGACTACATTTTTGGCCTTGTTTCTCTTCTCCTGTCTCATTTATCTTTTTTGGCAGGATGTGGTCACTGCGAAAATCTCTCAAAGTCGAAAGACTTGTCATTCAACATATTCACCAAAGCCCAAATATTTCGTGAAGGTTGGGAATTAATCAAATCTATCCGCTCCTCGTCACAAGTAGCAGCTGATGAAATACGAGGAGTCGGAATTCATATTACAAAACTCGATAATGATCAACGACGAGAAGATGGGCAGCAGAGGCTGCAATTTCTTGCTAAACCTTACGGTAGCAGGACAACTAGTCTTGCGTCGTCGTCTAGTAAACCGGTCTTGGACAAGGTCGATAATGTTGGTGCTGGAAAGAATGAAGTAGGTGCTCCTTTGCCGACTTTTGAGGTGAGAGACAAAAAAAACTCTAAATGGAACAGAATAGATCTTGCGCACAGTGTAATCGACACCATCGCATATTGTAGGAGATTGATATGGAAAGTCTTTCAGAACTACCACCCGAGATACGGCAAGAGTATTTTGAATATTACGAGGGGCAGAAGCGGTCTCGTGAAGTTGCATTTGCTCTTGAACTAGAGCAGCAACACGAGCAACAAGAGCAACATGCCAGTAAGCGAGCTCGAACTATATCTCCGAAGAAGGAGTTGACTATGAGTCAACTAATCCCGCAAGATCTATCTGCTATACCTCCCGAAGTCTATAATCAGCTACCTCTTGATATAAGGAGGGAACTTGACACACAGAAAAAGAATGCCGAGAAACTTCGTAACAAAGCCACTGTCACTGCTACGACAACAGTTACGAGCAAGAAGAGTGGTGGTCTTATCAAGAAGGTCATGAATAAAAAGATTCAAAAGCGACAACCGGATATCAAACAGTCCTTCAGGAGGCAGAATGGAATTGTAGATGAGCCTCTCCATATAATACCCAAAGCACCACCACGCCAAATACCCATAATAGAACCACCGGTAATCAAACTACCAATACCATTCATGGGACATACCTCTATACCCGACATTCGAGACACGTTGGGAGAATGGATATCGTCTACTGCTGATGAAGCACCCGATGAAGACGACGTATCATCAGTTGTTGAATACTTGGTGGAGAAAGTGCATGCACGAGAATGTGCGGATGTGCTTGTGTTGATGAGGTATTTGTCGAGAACAGCTGCTGATTGTCATGATGGGTGGAAGCAGGCAGTGGAACGTATGTGGCTGGAATGTAATGAGGCCGCTGTGTCTATATATGGGTGTCCTTTGAAGAGGGACTGATTGCACTTTTGGGTTATTTTGGCATCACATTATTCTAGAATCATGCAAGAACTGTATATAGAATGCATTGCCACATATGAGCCAATCGCATTTGTTTTCAATTTTCATCATCGAAACGAATGTTGACTGGTGAGACTCTGCTACCTCACGCACTGGAAACGTTCCAAACGACCAAACCATCAATCCGTACAAACAGTCATTTTGGAATGAATATCCAAGTTTTGACGGAAAGACACCTAGTTTGTTTCATGTTTCAAGGTCCTGTGTGGGTCAAATAGTGAATAGTGTATCGTACTAGCAGCTAAAGTTTTAGAGTAACCAATTCTTGCGGTAGATCTGATTTTGTGCCAAATGTCTTTGGCCTCACTTACTGAAGAAAGGTAACGAATTCCATTTGCATTCTGTTTTGATGACAATTGCGATTCAAGTCAATGCCACTTGAGTCCAGAGCAAACGAAACATCAAAAACATCCAAATCAACACCGAAAAGGCCTTCACAATATATTCTTGTTGACTCAGCTGAAGACACCACGAAATAATATACAAAAGACAGACAAACGAAGCAAATCCCTATTTCAAATCATCCAACCTCCTCGTCTTTGCCCCTCTTTATCATCACAACATAATTCATCATCATCTAGTAGAGCTACCCACTAAATCCTCATTGATATCCATGAGCGAATACTGCTTCAATAGGATACATTCGCCACCTAATTCCAAATCGACATTATATTCATAAAAGTATCCTTCGGCTGTAACAACCATGGCCTGTGGTGCAGTGTTGGAGAGGGCACACATGTTTGGGATTCCTCGTGAGCCAGATGGTAGTTTGCAGTGTGCGAAATCACGTTGTGGATCCCACATTTCAGTCACAGAGTCTGGGAGAAAGTAGGATGATACTGCTCCTACTGCGTTCGTTAATGGGGTTTTTCTGTTTGTGACATGGTATTGTTGAGTGGATTTGAATGAGCCAAAAGAACAACGAAACGTAACAAAACCGTGTATGCCCAAAACGCACTTACAAGCTAAACTTCTTATCAGACCGCCTCGGAGTATCCTCAAAACTACCGCCACTAGCAGCCATACCACCCGACAAACCATTCCCACTACTTCCCAACCCATTATTGCCATCCACACTACCAGCTCCATTACCAGTATGATTGTACAACTTGTATATATGCACTGTATCCGTATTACTCGACACACTCAACAAGGTGCTATTCAGATTGAAGGATAGAGAATAAATCCTGGCAGGGTATGTTCCTCTTCTGAACTGATAAAGTTTTTGACCTGTTGGTATAGAGAATACACGAATGACTGTTCCTTTATCGGATGAGGTGGCGACCATGGTACCGTCATAGTTGAAGGCGATGCATGAGAGGGGTGATTTATGGGCTTGGATGATGTTTACAGCTTGCAGGTTGATTGCGTCGTATATGAGGAGGTCACCGGCTGCGCCTGATGTGTTTGGTGGATAGGCGAGGAAGCAGTTGTCTGATGATGGGGATAGCGCACATAATGCTGGAGGGCGATGGAGTGTTAGCAAAGACCATGGAGACTCTGTCATGAACCATTTTTTTGCAAGCCAACTCTAAGCACTCACCATTCGGATTAGGTGATGTATCGATAGTATGCAATAGTTTCATGTTACTTATATCGTAAATGTAGATGTGTTCTTCTAGAGTAACAATCAGTCTCTTTCGATTCAGCTTGACTGCCAATATTGCAGTGACAAATGGAGTCAATTCACATATGGTAGATTGTCTCTGTTTTCGTCGAGAAGAAGGAAAAGAAGGTAGATAGTGAGTTACCGGTAACTAATCACGTTGATAGTAACGAGGTTATCACCTTCGTGTTTATGATTTGCAAACGTCTCGGCGAGAAGGCAGGTGATTCTCCACTTCCCACGAGAGCTATTTGATCATAATAGTATTGAATCAGCTTGCCTTCCTGTTGTGGCTAGTTCGAAGTAATCGAGACGTACCAACGAGACTGGTGCAAAACAGCATTTCGACTATACCCATTCCTCCATCGGCTAGAATATGAAAGAGAAGTATGAATACACAGTGCTCTCAAGACACCAAAGAAACCTCTCCAATACTAACTCTTTTCATAACATTTGCCAAAAGGGTCACAATTGTAAATCTTGTATCCTTTCCTCGTTCCGACTGATATGCAACTAGAAGTGACATGATACATACGAATTAGTCAATATTCACATAGTGATTCATCAATTGTCTTCCATCATCTCCCTGCTCTCTTCAAGTCGTGAAACTCCCAAAAAACGGCATGAATTTGATGTCTTGTCGGATTTGGAAACTTGCCTAAAGTCTTGATTGAAGTTGATGAAGAGTACTTCATTGTTTGATTTGCCGGCGATATTCATTTGGTCTATTTGCTGGTTCAATCTACAGCAGTCGTTCTCGTCGCCCTATGTTCAAAGTTTTTGAGAGATTTGAATAATTAGAAATCCCAGTTCAGGAATCACTTTATACTAGACAAGGAGCTGCTCTTACTGTCCACTGGACGTCTGGCCCACTTAATTCACTCCCACACTTTACTAGGTTGGAAGTGCTTTTTCTTGAACGCCTGGTTCTCGCAAAAGTCGCAAACATCACGAGGAATCTCGCTTATAAACCAACACAACTCTTGACGCCAGGTCTTGACGTGCCAGTCCCACTAATATAAATTATCCTTATTTCCATCGCGTATACCGTTTAGACCGTACACAGCGATTGCTTTACATTCTACATATTATATAACACCTCGACATTATAGTGCATACATGTTAAGAACAAGCCTCCCATAACAAGTCTGCATAATACTTGTCAGAGTACTTGGCTTCAAAGGGCGTCACCACTATATCGTTATGACCCACAGATCCTAGGAGAAGGAGAAGACTTCAATGAGTATATTAGCTGCTGGTTTGTTTGTTTTTTGGTCGACATACTTGTATGAGCATGCGTATAGACTCCCTTATCATCAGTCATCATTTCAACTCCCAGCGATTTCAGAATGTGTAGTTTGAGCCTGTTGAGAATGATTGATCTCAGTAAGAATCTTGTATAGACTTTCACGAATGATTTAAAGTTATGACTGCCACAAAAGTTATTCATTACAGCATACTCTTCCGACTCCTTCATTTTTGCCTCATGACGTATCCACACTCACAACCACACACTTACAATGACGGATCAGGAGGAACACCAGCCTCCACTCGTTCCTCCTCTTCAAGAGCCTGCATCTCCTGCAAATAAGCCTGATATCTCTCTTCTAAATCCCCAATAGACTGATGAATGCTATTCAACTCGTGTTTGACATTGGTTTGTTGTGATTCCAGTTTCGATGATTCGACAGAATATTTCAATGATGAGGCTTCTGTAGATGCATTTAATTGTCGAGTTTGCGCATCTTGGAGTCTTTGGGCCAGAGCTAAAAAAGCAGCGACAGTCAACGATACTGCATGGTGGGTTTGATGTTGATCAACTGCTTCAGCATATACAGCACTTACTGGCAAGGACGATACGAGTATGTTCATGTTGTCTAGCTCGTAATTCCGATGTCTTTCTTTCATTATCTAGTATGTCTGATATGATTGATGTGTCTTCTCTTGGTGATAAATGTTGCAGTAATTCAGGAACGAGAACGGGGAGTTCGTCCATACTAGAAGCACTATTATTGCTACTATTATTAATGTTCGATGCTGCGGCTGACATGTTTCTTCCTCGTTCTCGTTCAGTAATGACTGGACGCCTGGACCAGACTGCGATTTCTGAGCAAAAAACACCGAAAGTCGTGGAGGACTACAACACATGAAAGTTACAGATCTGGCTGCAAAGACAATTGTAACGCGTAGTTCTCAGTTGATCTAAGCTGTTCTAACTACTATTTTGAACTTCGCGCAATAGAAATGGTGCAATATTAAGTACACATCCATACTTACAAGGTAATCATATGCAACAGTGATATCATACAGCATCACTCACTCACTCAAGAGCCCGTTTGAAACTTGAGAACCTCATTACCTAATAGATATACTCTAGTGAGCTAAAGAAAATACACTGAATCTTCTCCTATAGACTTACCCCAGCTTGTCCAATTCGGAAGCAGGTTCCTAGCAAACAATTCCAGGCATCGATACTCTTTCGGTAGATATGGTTTCAGCACGCCTACATCAAGTACAATGTGTCAGCGAAAGTACTCATTCCAGTTGACTACGGCCCATGGCTTACCTTCTAAAGACGGTTTCCTCGAGTGGTGACTACTCGGCACAGAGAATATAGCATATGGTGATGGTATTGATTGTGTGGTTGACGTGCTCGCAATAATGATCTTCTCATACGGCTTGCGATGAACACTAATAAAAACGCCAAAAATCAGAACACAAAAAGATGACAGCACAACATGAAAAGATCCCAACTCATCAAGATCTCTAACCCATTCCCCAGCACTGGTAACTTTACACCAATACCATTCTGCCAATAGCGTCAACTTCCAGTCCCTAATGACCTTATTCCTGACAAACTCGTGATGGCGCGGTGTATTCGTCATCCAAAAGACCACTAGACCGTCTGGAAATATGAGGTCATTGACTGGCAGTTTGAACATATCGTAACGGTCCAACTGATCATATTTGGAGTGAACGGAAGAGTTTGGCCATGGGAAGTCGATCACGATTAGGTTGTATTTGTGGCCTGGGAAGTAAGGATGGGCATGGGTGAGCTAAACGTCTCGTTTATAATGTGGTTCTGGTCACTTTTTTTTACCAATGACGAGAGCATCGACATACGACAGATCCGACATGAGAAAGGTCGAATTCGGCGGTATATTGATGACTGAACCTGCACCGTCGAGCTCGGTTTTGAGCTGCAGACCATAGCTAGTACTGTTTGTCAAGAGTTTGTTGACGAGCTTGACAGTTTCAACCACAGTTGGAAGCTCTAAGCGATAGATACCCATTCTAGTGAATAACAATCACTTGAAAGAAATCTGTAGACCCAAAAAACGTATACTGTACCCTTTATAATATCCAAACCTTGAACATCACAATCCCCAACAGCCTTTCCAACATCAAGCCAATCAATACCAGCACTTTCAGATACACTAGCTCCAACTATACCACCAGTCTCACCAACACTCGTATAATGTCCAAACCCCATAACCTCCGAATGCGCATCACTCAAGAAATGTCGAATCAGCAAATGATCCCTTTCTGCGTATTCTTGTTGTGCTGATGGAGCAGCAGGCTCCTTACGTCTTCGTTTGCGTTTATGAGTTGATGCTCCATCGTCACCTTCGGTAGCTGTTGATGTGTTGGTGAATGGTTGCGACAAGGTGAATTCGTTTGGGTGAAAGCTGGCAATTTCGGTACCGTTCGCTAGCTTATAAACGTGAGATCTGCATGAGTCCAAAATGCATGCCTTGGAGCTAGTGTAAACTATCGCACAATTCGTGTTCATTTGGTTTCTTTTTTGCATGGTGCTGTGGACCAAATAAAGGAGAGAAGACGAACATCGTGTTTCAAAAGCTTTTCTACATATCAACTTGCTTGCTATTTTCTACTTCACATACAAAATCATTCTGCATCTTTTCCTCTACAGCAATTACACACACTACAAATATTTCGTAAGGTTGCCAGCTTAAAGCTCCAATTGGTAGCCTTCCAGCCTCCCAGTTTCGCCAACGGTCAAATCAAGGAGACCTTGAGCAGCAAGAATCCAAGCCTTGGCTCGTTTTGCATTTCCAAGCATGTCATAGCTATGGGAACATTAGTGTTTACATGCATATGAACCAGAAAAGAAATAAATCAAAACTCACCAGCGAGCAATATCGATGAAGGTAAGACGATCGAACTTGTTCAATCAGAAAGGTACTCGACTGATGATCGCACCATCACTAGTTTTCAGTGAAGATACCTCCAGCAGACGCACATGCCCTCTTACTATACTCGATAGCGGCAAGGAGCATGGCTCTTTACACGACCAATCATGAAGCGAATAAGTGTCAACTCAGTCTTGGGCTGAGTACAACCACATTTGTACGAAGCTTCTACCGCATCGAGTTCTCCACGAATGACGGCAGCGTCGACACTTTTAACCATTTTCTTTTTATTCTTGACACGGAGCAAGATTCCTTCTCGTACTTGACGATTGGATATCCCGTAACTGTCATCTGCAAGACACAAGTCGCACTTGCAGATGATGTCAAACTTCTCCAACTCAAATTGAGCCAACAGTTGGGGTCTATATATGGAATCGTGATTTCCGTATTGGCAAGGGATATCTCGATTGGCACGACATATCATAGCGTAGCCATAGTACGATACAGATACAATACTGCAACAACTATGGTTTATCAATGAGGGCAAAAGATACAAGCAAAATGTATCACCTATATCTTCAGATGTCTTTTCAGCGAGAACATTCTCGCAGAAGAGTTGCGGTACATTGACAAGAGGGGTGCAACAAGCGTAAATCAATTCCTATGTATCCGTAGATGATTTATTATTAAATTATGATTCCATAAGCATGTTTAGTTAATCTTAAAACCACCAGTTTTCGTACTCCAAAATCCCTTTGGATCATACTTTGTTTGCGCCAATTTAGCAGCATTACGGGATGCAACCGGCAACCTCCCAAAATAATCTTGCTTCAAATATGCATCATTGGCAAACAATGGCAACGAAGTCAAGGATGGCAATGTTCCAGCATTGACACCACTCAAATACGTATTGCGTATACCTGTATATACTTGAGTTAGTGCGTTCTGAACTGTCGTATCAAAGGCAGCACCAGTCCAGCTATAATCCAGCTCGAATATGATATAATCGTGGGTTGGATCAAAGCTTAAGGAGTCACCTCCTGAAGCGAGTGCCTTTTGTGCCAGCATTTTGGGGATTGGTTGGAAGGCTATTGTTCCAATCAAGAATGGTGTTGAGATGATGGTATCCGTGATATTAAAGAAGGTATCGTATGCTGTTTGTAGGACGGCGATGTTCGCGGATGATGGTAACGGCAGTGTTTCGGTTCCTATTTGATAGCGGAATCCGTGTAGCACTCCAATGTCGTTACCCTGCAGCTGTAAAAGCAAATTTGCTGTCAGTACATCCTGCACCAGTAACAGAAAAAGGTTTGTTTCCATTCTGCCATACCAAGCTGTAATATGTTTGTGTTTTGGCTGAATTCAACAATGGCCCAATACTCGTAAAGTTCCTAAAGACACTTCCTGGTGATGCACCGTTATAATAGAAGAAGCAAATCCAAGTATTGATCAATGAAGATTTTTCATATGTGATGATTATACCAGCCTTTTCGTCAGGATAGTGCTCTGTAAAGTCACGAACAGCTTTGATGATTTGAGGAGTCTTTGATTTGTCAAATGTCATGATGCCTCCCCAAACCTAATACGTGTTACTTTTGTGATTAGAGCATGATTTGTTCGCGCCAAAAGATGATAATTGACCTGGTTTGAATGCATACCTGTCCTTGAGGATACGCCTTGAGCGTAAATCGACTGACAATTCCAAAATTATTTCCACCTAAGAATGGATTGTCAAAACCGTCAAATTTCATTCAAGAGCATCCAGCAAATTTTAATTTTGTTATTTTTACGTACCTCCTTTGAGAACTGCAAAGAGATCAGAATTTTGATTTGCGTTTGCGTTTACAATAGAGCCATCTGCCAGCACAATCTCGTAGTTCACAATGTTGTTAGAAGCCCATCCATACTGTGTTGACTTGAATGATAGCCCATTGCCTAGGAGCAAGCCACCAACACCAACAAGACCAATACGACCTAAGCATCAGCTGTAAGTTCATACAAGTCTCGATACAATGATTCGAGAGTTGCCATTCTGATGAGTACAAATGGAGAGGCCTTGAACTCTGTCAAAGTAGTAATTTTGAGTACTTGCCTCCCACGACAGTAACTCCAAGTGGATCCAAAACTTTAATCACATCTTGCCACTTGTTGCCAGAACCAACTACAACAGTCTGCGATGCTTGGTTGTACGTGACTTCATTGATTTTCGCCAACGAGACCACTAGTATTTCGAATGTGAAAAGCTCGAAAACACTAGCTCGAAAACACTAGAAACGAACTTCACCAAAACTGACCTATGCCTGAAGAGCTACTGAAACCAAGGTTTGGATTGTGGCCTCCAGACTTGACAGAAAAAGTCTCGTTTGTTTGGAGTAGTGTTTTGACAACCATTGATATTTCAGAAGCATTGCGAGGGAAGATGATGCATTTGGGCCGAATCTCCGTAGCTAGAAGAGATTTTTAGTTTCAAATGAGAAGATAGTGATGGAAATAGTTTGTGTTAGGTTTGTGACGTTCGTCAACTCAGTATATAGCCAAGCTGTTGCATGCGTGCATACCTGCAAAACTCCAATAGTTGAGCTCTTCGGTTGCATAAGAAACTGACAATGGATACACGGCATCGGATGGAATAACATTACAGGCTGTTAGTGATGTTGGCCCTGCCCTGGCTATTATGATGGAGGCAAGCAGAGCAAACCACGCGGACGCGGATCCAAAAGAAGGCACCATAGCTATTTTCAAAGTATGTTTGCCCTTAAAAGTGCGGTAAAGTTGCACACAATTGCTGTCGAATTTGGGCTAGCTGCGATTCTAAGAGTTGTACGAAAGTCAGCAGTTGAAGCAGGGATGCAAACGGAATAGACAAAGAAAGGCGATCAGTTCATTGGTACCGAGGCAGAGTCCTCTAATGTGTCCTTGACACAGTAGGCCAAACTCTGTTGCAAGCTCTGGAACAAATGTTTTGGTAGCGTTTGTTGGTTTATGCGAGTGACTACGATTCCAGCATTCCAAGCGAGTTTACAGTTATTGGTGGCACTGGTATCCTGAGATTGGTCAGTTAACTGAAAAATACATCCCTTCTTTGTATCATATGAAATCGAAAGGTCCACTCGTCCACTCGCCAGTATATTTTTGGTTATGACATGTTCACGTCCATTTCAAGTTATTTTCACTTTTCTGAGTGGATTTCATAATAAATTACGTTAATAAAATGGCCTTGCATCCTTTTATTGTTCTTCTTGACGTTTTCTTTCTCAACCCCGATTTCGTGTCGACCCCGATCGTTCAATGACCAACCCCCACTTGGAGAATGAAACAAGGTAAGGTAACTTGTTATCGATCGGTGGCCCAACCAGCGTAGATTCCATTCGTTCAATCATATTTAGATGCATCTAACATCTTACTTCCACCATTTTTCATAAACAGAGACGACTTCTCGCGCATCAACGCAGAACGACCATCTGTTGTCGTCTGATGAAGACTCGGATGACAATGCTGCAAGACTAGATATCCGTGCTGCTTTGTCTCTGGACGATGTCGTATACAAGACGCTCCTATATGAACTCATCAAACCAAATGATCCAGACGCCTTTCACGAAGCTCTGCAATTGTCGAATCTTACAGAGATTGAATGGAATGAAGATATAGCTACTGCAAATTTCAATCATGTAAATGGTATGTGCAGTTTGGACGCCTTATTGGATTTATGATGTTTACACTGGGTTGCAGTTTGGATGACGTGCCATTTGTCGGACGGACGATTCCTTACTCGTGCATTTAAACAAATACTGAACAGAATCTTGTAGATACCGTAGAGTATCACTACTCGGAGGTTGCTAAAGACCCGCTTGAATACGCACATATCCTAACAGCTGGGGCATCACGTCGCAGGATACAGCTCTTTTATATATACGACTTGATGCGACAATTATCTGATATGCTGGCTCCATATAAAGAGAGAAGAAGTATGATGGAAGAGATACTCGAGCTTGGACGATCTGGAATTGTGTTCGACAATGAAAGAGGTCTGCCACAATATTACACGTTCTTGCTCGAGCTTCAAACACAGGTAGAAAACCATCATTTTGTCATATTACTAGCCTCTTAGCTGAAATGGGACGTGTTTTGCCTATCCTGAAGCTCGCTACCGTTTAGATTGCTGTTGAAGTTGCATCAGTCTATCCTCATCGGCTTGGAGATGCCAAATTCTGGGAAGACAAGGAAGTCAACAATGTGAAATGTGCTGCTCACGATGAGTATCTTTACAACCTCGGTGTTCGACAGAGAAAGGTCAGTACGATCTATAGAAGGATTCCATTTGCTTGATTCTGCGTCTTGACATTACTAGACTCCTTCTCGACATCTCATTATAACTGATTGTATTTGATAGGCTGCAGACACCTTAAATGATAAGGTGCTGGTTGGTGAATTCAGGACTGAGTACTCTTGGGACAAGTGTGTGGAGAAAGTTTGTGAAGAAGTGCTGGTGTGGCTGAATTTGGCTATTAATACTTTACCAGATGCAATACCGAGGTTTACGGTATGTTACAAGAATCTGCATTTTACGTACAGAGTGGCGTCCTAAAAATCTGCAATTGCTGCCGTGCTTTTGTTGTCTAACTTTTCAGCCTTTAGTTACTTCCACCACGACACTCATCTCATTCCTCTGCTTCATCATCAAGTCCGAAACAATCTAAACTACTCTCACCGGACAGAGTCAAGCAATATGTACCTGCATTACGATCAAAGCAACAAGACGCCACTGCCGGCGTGCCACCACAACAAATGTCTTCTCCCTCGAAACAAAATACGAAGTCGTCGGGTTCTTCTTCTGCTGCAGCTCATCAGAAGAAGCACTCTTCTTCTAGTGCTTCTCCTACCAAGAAGCTGTAAGATTACATTTTTTAAGCGAAAACTCTTAATAACCGATCTAATCTTGTCTCGTCCTCATAGAACACCTTCCGCCGTTGTTGTAGATATGGGTGAGGCAGGGACTGGTAATGAAGACGATGACGACGATGATGATAATGAACCTCCACCACCGTCCAATAAAGGCGAGGCTAGGGCTCATCCAATTCTCCATGAACGTAATCGCAAGACAACATCATCACCGTCTCCTTCAGCGTCAGAGACAGAGCAACAGCCACAACAGCAACCAGACGTCAATTACTCAAACCGACCGTTTCCACCACAATATGCAGTGCATAATCCGCCAAATAAACTTGACAATCCAGATAGAGATATAGAAGACGATGTGCAGAACCATCGTGATGATCCCATCGAAGAAGACGATAAAATCGACGATCCACCACCAGCACCAAAGCGAAATAATAAGAAACGATCCCGAAGCACCTCGAATGATCCTACTGATGACAATGGAGGTGATTTACTTTTTACCAAAGGTCTATTGCCAGTCAAGAATAAAAAGTCGAAAACAAAGTCATCTGATTCAATGGAAGAGCAACCACCTGAAGGAGTACAACGGCCTCGTAATCCTGAAAAAGGTAGTCGCAGTCAACCAAAGGGGCAGGCAAATGCAAATGTCAAGGTCAGAGACGGTCGTAGTCATAAGAGACCTTGGATGGTAGTGGAATTGGAAGCTTTAGAAGAGGGCATGAAGAAGCATAAAAGTAGTTGGGTGAAAATTGTTGAAATGACTGGACCGAATGGGAATGGGATTTTGTCCCATCGCTTTGAGGTGAGATGTGTTTTCGAAAATCAAAATTTTCACGTGAGATGTTGCAAGAGAAGGCAGATTGACTGAAGAGCCATTATTTGCTTCAGCTGACCGGGATTTGTTTTGCTCTGTGAGCTGACTCTCTTTTTTTCCTCACCTAGGGACTAAATCCAGGCAAATGCCAAACGATGCTCAAGGACAAAGCACGTACCGAGAAGGACAGAAGACGTCGCCTGAAGATCGATTTAGGAGTTTTTGGCGATGCACCATTGACTCGCAACGACAAAAACACAAAGAAAAAGAAAGGTGGACGAGATGGACAGCAGCCAGTGGATGAAGAGCAACAGCCAGAGATTGAGGATGAGCAGCTAGATGATGAAGATCAGCAGCCAGAGAATGAAGTGAAGACTGAAGAAGGAGATTCATCATAAATGAAACGAACTAGCTAGATTTGTAACATTGAGACATTTTTAAATACAACACATGCAATAAGTATGAATTTGAGTTTGAATTGATTGTTTCTGCGAGTCTAGTGTTGTTGTTTTTTCAAAATCGTGATTCATCGCATCACAGTTTATTCTGCGTCACTGTAGCTATTTCCTATAGCAGATATCACGAAAAATCACGCTCTTTACGCTCATAAATCTACCAGAAGCCTCAAATCCAGCTTTTCTTTGTCAACCCCTCAACTCTGCAACCCCAGTTTCGCTACTCACCACCCTACCACCAATAGCCCTACCCATACCTTCGAGCATGCCAAGAGGCACGTAACTCCATTATGCGATCGCTTTCTGTTACAGTATTGAATCCATTATATTATGACTCTGATATATCAATCTACCTTATTAGCAACGCCACCTCGCGAAACAGCACCAAACGACAATCTGTCGTCATCTGAAGACGAGTCAGAAGACAATGTAGCTAGATTAGACTTGTATTCTTCTCTCACGGTGGACCATCTAGTATATCAGACGCTTTTATATGGGCTCATTAAAGCAAATGATCTGAATGCTTTCCAAGAGACGGTACGAGTGTCGAATACGGTAGAAGTTGAATGGAATGATGAGATAGAAGGTACAAAGTTTAGGCAACTGAATGGTGAGTGTGGATTCAGAGAGTTTCGGATTGTGTGGTTGCTTCAGTCGCTGTCGCGCGTGACGTGACGGGTGTTGGTTGATGATGCTTTTACACGTGCCAATTCGTCCAAAGAGCAAACGTACTCAATTATTTGGTATGAATTCATGATAGACACACCACAATTCCACTATCGACAAGTCGCTACAGACCCACTTGAATTCGCCCATATCTTGACAAACCCAGCATCACTTCGTCGAATTCAGCTATTCTATATCTGGGATTTGATGCGTCAAGTATCTGATATGCTCAGTTCGCACACTGAGAGGAAGAAGATGCTAAAGCAGATTCTGAGGCTCGGGCAGAATGGAATTGTGTTTGATAAGACACAGGGTGGACACGAATACTATACGTTCTTGATTGAGCTCCAGACACAAGTAAACATGAATGCCCTGTCGCTGTGTTTAGCTCTTAACTTGTTATGCAAATGTTGTAATATGCTCAAACCATCTATTGTTTTGTAGATTGCAACTGAAGTCGCATCGGTCAGGCCTCGTGATCTTGGAGATGACAGATTCTGGGGGAATATGGATACGAACAATGTAGAAACTGCTGCTCGAACTGCATATCGGCGTGAGCTGGTTGCTCGACAGAAACTGGTAGGCGTATGAAAGAAGACATTAACGCTTTCAGAGAGAAAAAAAAATGCACAAAATTTTCACATCACAGGTCCGACAGTCTTAACGTGAAAATTTCGAATTCAATAGGCCAAGGATACGGAAGGTGACAAGACTCTGGTTGGTGAATTCAGATCTCGGTACTCCTGGGATTTGTGTATGGAAAGAGTCTGTCGAGAGGTGTTGGTGCCCTTGGCTTTGGCTATTAATGATTTGCCGAATGCTATACCAAGGTTCAAGGTATATTGCTCGCATTGATTTGATCAACAAGCATTACTTCGTAGGCCTTTGCTTTTTCTTTCTTTTTGAGTTCTAAACTATAGATCTTCTCAATATTAGGCAACATCACAACGACTTCGAGCAACTTCCTCTCGTGCATCGACTCCAAGATCTACTGGAGCAGTTTCTCCACTCACAGCAATAAAGCAGTCACCATCACAGCTTCAACAACAAGAACTATTGAATCAAATGCAAACGATTCCGCAGTCATCACCTACTAGACCGCCTCTACCACCATCTCCAAAACCTTCTGCCAAGTCACAAGCTCCACTACCTCCTCCCACCAAGACAGGCACACCTAAAGTAACTCAAAAGCCATCAGCATCGTTGTCTTCTCGTCCTGTTGGACAAAAGAAAGAGCCTCATGCTGGTAATCAAAATAAGCAGCCTCCTGCTGGTGATCGAAAAGCGCAGCCTTCTGCTACTGATCAAAAGAAGCAGCGTTCTGCTGGTATCCCTCCTGCCAAGAAGGGGTAAGTTATCGCTGTTGATTCGCACATTAACCAACGATCAACATTTCTTCCTATTTCCTTAGAACACCTCCAATTATCGTTGATCAAGGTGAAGACGACGAGGACGAGGACGATTCGCAACTACCACCAAAACCAGATCGACAAGGAAATGCGTCAGCAGCTCAATCAAATAGTAATGTATCTAGTCGCACCTCAACAAGGCTGCCATCACCTACTGCATCACAGCCAGACCAAGATTCAGAACAGCAACAGGAGGACGATGATTACTCAAACAAGCCATATCCGCCGCAATATGCGATAAAACACCCGCCATCTAAATTTAAGAACCCAGATCGAGACATTGAAGACGATCGTGACTATATTCCAGATAGAGACAATGACGGCTACCGAGACGATCCATTGGGCGACGAAGACGAAGGGCCACAGCTAATTCGAAAGGAACGTAAACAGAACGACAAGAAACGGAGACGGAATGGCAATCTCTCTGAAGATGATCAAGGCAATAATAGTCGACCTCCAAAGATGACCAAGCGACCACTCCCACCTTCCTTTACTGCAAACAAGCCTCAGCAAACACAACCAGAAGGACCAAAGCAGCCTCGTCGTACACCACCACCATCACCAGACCAAACATCAGATATTGAAGAAATAGTCGCAAAACGTCGTGTTAGGCAGTTCAAGAGATGGTCTAGTGCTGATGTGAAGGCGTTGGAAGAGGCGATGAGGAAGTATGGAAGTGGATGGGCAAAGATTCAGGCTATGACTGGGCCAGATGGGAATGGAAAATTGAGTCATTTTTATGAGGTATGTACGTGTGTGTGCTTTCATCGTGTGGTTGTTTGGGTATTTCGTCATATCAGCATTTGAAGGAAATGAAAACTGTAATGTTATGTAGAAAGGATTGTGCAGAATGCCAAAAAACAGTCTTTCCGTTGAAAAGACTGCTATCAACCTTCAAATCTAACTCTCTCTCTTTCTCTCCTTACACTCACAGGGCCTCATACCACGACAAGCCCAAACCTTGCTTAAAGATAAAGCCCGGTCTGAAAAGGATCGAAGGCTACGAAACAACGTTCCATTAGGTATATGGGGACTTGGAAGCTCGCATGTTGAACGTGATCGAAGACTGGCTCAACAGATTCGGGCACAGGGAGGAAGAAATCGGGCGAGGACAGAAGACGAGGAGGAGGATGAGGAGGGACAGCAGCAGCCACCAGGAGAGCGGGAAGGAAGAGATGGGGCGAGGGTAGAAGAGGGGGAGGAGGGACAGCAGCAGGAACGAGTGCGGAATGAAGAGGACGAGCAAGAGCAGGAGAACGAGGAGCAACAGCAAGAAGGGGAAGAGCAACAGTGGGACGAAGAGGGAGAGGAGCAGCAGCAAGACGAAGAAGACGAGGAGCAACAACAGGATGATGAAGATAGTCAGATGGCATGATGCTACTAAGAGAAGGACTTGTTCGTATTTACTATATCAATTACATTTCGCTAATGGTAATGGAGCAATAAAAACAGAGGTGTCAAAAAATAAAAATGCAACGTGTCTCAGAATTACTTTCTTATATGTGTTGCGTGCTTATAAACAAGATGCTGCCGTTCTTAACATCACTATTACGGCGATCCTCTCCGCAACAAATCCACATCCGACTGCATAGACGAATTCCTCGTCTCGTATATCCCATTACTACTAGGCATACTCGTATCGTATGGTGAATACGGTGGTGGTGGATTCGAAGCAACAGCATTAGATTCATTGATTGTTGGGAGTGATGATGTTATAGTTATCACGTTGCTGTTAGTGTTGAGTATTGGTGAGGCTGGGACTGATGGCACAGGCGTAATATGTGAGGATCCAAGCACGTCTTGCTTGCAGACTGGACATAGCCGATTATGCTGGAGCAGCCAGGGATCAATGCTATTAGAATGGTGTTAGAGACACTAGCATTAAGCAGCCAAAAACACCGTAACAGAATTCAAAGCATTTACCAAGTACAGTGAAACACATGACTGCACGGCAAACTCCTAATCGTGCTTCCAATAACGAATTCATCGAGGCACACACTGCAACAGTCACTCGGTAACCCCACACTGCCCGCGCCCGACGCAGCCATAACAGCAACATCAGCACTCGTGATCGTCCTCGTTGGGAAATTCACAGATGTAAGCGTGTCTGGTTTAGGCGGCCGTGGCGTCAGCTCATAGTTCATGATTATCGGAACCCCATGAGTTTTGCGGTATACGTAGACGGCGACTAGCATGACTCCAAGCAAGACTATTGCGATTATGATTGGGATGTATGATGAGAAAGGGTTTATCGATGGTGGTGGAGTTCCCTGTGGTGAGCCAGTGTCTGTGATGTTGGTTAGTGCCAATAATGGAATGGTGTCTGTTGTGTTTGTGTTGTTTGCAGCAGCGATATTCACATTAATGGAATGAAACAGCGTCATAGCATCCACGTTCCGTAAAAACATGCTCGGGATAGTAACGGAAGATCCCAAGGTCGACGAAGTCATAATAATATATCCATCGGGTGTCGTGACGTTATCGTTATACACGATAGCGATACTTGCACCTGCGAGTTGCGCATTGTAGCATTTCGTATCGAACGAGCAGTTTCCACGTTGTATCATTATCGTCCATGGGATGGCGCTGCTGTTATGGTTTGATGTGTATATTTGGGTTTGGAAGGTATTTGAAATGTTTGGGAATGTGACGTTGAATGGCGTGCATGCATCGGTAGAGATTCGTATGACTGGTGAGAAGAGACTTGATGTGGATCGGATTTGGCCACCAAAAGCACCACTGACGGCGTACCCACTGAATCCATTAAATGTGCTGTTTATGGAGCCGACTGGCACTAAATCCAGTTCGATTGCACTTCCTCCACCATTTGTTGCCGCAGATGGCAAGTCTCGTTTAACTGCTCTACTGGTAGCTTGTACGTTGGGTAAAATGATTACGAGCAATACTAGCACTGCTAATCGTAGCGTTATTCCATCAGCCCATCTGACAAGTGATACTGGATTTCGATTTATAGGTGGGGGAAGGAGTTTCGACACAAGGTACATTATTGTAGAGGACGAAGAAGCGAGGGGAGAGTGTTCACTACTCAATGGATCCGTCTCATCGAATTCCATATATACAGTATTGGGTCACGTTTTGGACTGTTGGTTTCAGGAGTGGAACGCAATTACCCAAACCCTAGACACTTTGTTTATGAGTCCCCAATCGCCAAGTCCATGAGAAATCCGTGCATCTGGTCTCAACAATATAAAGCACGTCAGATGGCGAAACTTTAGATTGATTAGTAGTTGAGCAACATGAGGTATTACTATTGAGGGCCAGCTAAAAAAACAAGGGCCCAATATACAACTTTTCACTATTTACAGTACTACAATATTTCCAAATTCTCTCTGAATCCTCATCCTCATCATAAATCATCATGCCAATTCTTTGTGCCAGCCGCACCTGTGGTATATAAAAGCCTTCCAAGCTTACGAGAAAGTCACCAATGCACTCCCTACTTTTTGCTGCTCACTACCCAACTACTTTACGAGTACCGAGTTCGGCACACTGGCAGTACTACTAGCCTTACTACTACTGCTCGTACTATCTCCACTACTTGCAGAATCATGGCTAGCATCCCGCTTAGCTTCATCGACATTAACTCTCCCATCATCCTCGTCTTCCTCCTCCCCTCCGTCCTCATATTCTTCACCAGCATCACTTCTAGCCGACTCTTCAAGCTCATCGTCTTCATCCCATTCACCAGGCGGTGTTTCATCTCCGTCATTTTCATGTTCCTGAGCATGGTGATTCATTACAATTTTCGTAGAATCGGATGAATGGTGTGTAGGCGGTGATCTAGATATGAACAATTTACTCTTGAGAGCTTCGTCTAGTGCGATTGCCTTCATGCTATGTCTGAGAAGGAGGTTTCCACATTCTTGCAATTCTTCGGTTGTTACGGAGAGGTTGAAGCCGTTAAGCATTAGGATTTCGACTTCGAGGGCGTTTAGTTCGTTTACTGGTAATCCTCCAACCCCTGTAATTGAAATCGAGTGTTAGTACCTTGGGAAGGGCAATGAGTCATCGACTTGCGTCATGTCTTCCGATCCATGATCGACGATTGTACTAATCAGTAAACACACATAAAGATTGCTAAAACCACATTGCAAATGCCACATCAAACTTACTGGATATATGCACATTAGTAAAAAACACATCCGACAAAAACTTGACTGCGACCATAGTGGAAGAAATCAACAAGCGATGTATGCTATGATTAGTTATGGCGAGAGGTAGCCGTGTCCTGCTAGGCACATCTTCAGGGTGCTTATAGGATTTAGCAATATCGCGTGGTATCGGCGGCCCTAAGCCTTTAGCATCTGGATGTGCCATTCGGTTTAAGTATATGAGGACGGCGAGGAAGCAGTCTGTTCCACATGGTGCATACTAATAAAAACAGAGTTTCGGGTTAGTTACAAGTGGTTTTGGTAGAGATGGGTTTTTGGCATGTGTTTGACCACCGCAATGCAGAAGGGTGCGATAAGAGCGAGTAGAGCGAGTTCAAAGAATGTCAGGGCAGCAAAGTGTAGATGGATGTACATTTCAAGTTTCCATCTAGTCTCTTTGTAGCCTTGCGATGCTGGCTGTCTCTGTGTGTCCTTATCAAACATTCCCCCAAAAAAACAGGGCCAATTTGCAAATGTACACTGAATCATAAAACATACCTTTAGGATTCTGACTAGGTAGCCGTATATATCAATGTTTGGTATAGATCTTGTATGGAATCTGGTGACAGTCGCTGTCGGAGGGGCCTTATGGTCTGCGCAGATTTGAGTAAGGTAGGCTGCTAATAGTTTGATTGCTTCGGCTGGGGGCATGGCCAGGTCGAATACGGGGCTGTCATGCTTGTGATGATGTGTGTGGTGCTGCGTTGCCAGGTGCAATGTGCTTGGCGACATGGTTGTTGTCGTGTTGTCTGATTTGACAGGTAAAATGTGAGTGTGAAAGGGAGAGTGGGGCTTGATGAGCCAGAAGTTCCGACACTACAAAGACCTGGTCTACATCGGGGACTAGTTGATGGACAAAAGCTAAATGCTGGTATATACGCTCGTGTTTGGTCGCAGATGATTTAAAGATGGTGACCGGGCACTTGCTTGTAATTTACGGGTGCTCTTTTCGTTTCAACATTGACGACTGCAAACGATGTTTGAACGATGTTTTACATAGCATTATATACGCGTAACACTAACGGATCTCTACTTTCCTACTCTACTAGACACCGATTCCTGAAAGCTCGTGCAAACCTCGCACCTTAAAAAACTTAAATAAAAAGCAGTTGACATACCACCATGACGACAGGCATCCTTCTACGTAGATTCCAGCATACAGCAGCCACCACACCCACCATCGGCATGAGCATTCACCTCCCATCTCACCTTCTCCCACTATCCCCATCGCCCAAATCAACCAACGCAGCCAAACTACACCCCCAACAGCCCAAAATCACAACCGATACAGAGCTGCAACGAGCGCTAACTCGCACAGACCTCTACAACGCATTCCGTAAACACCAGCACGTCAAAGCATGGCAGATATACAAGCGCCTCGTATACCATCATCCAAACAATTTACGAATGGACGACCATAGCCAGATACTCAACATGATTGCATCAAACAGTCTGCCGGAGTTGAGCGCTAGGTTCGCATCTCGGGTCCTGTATAGTATAGGAAAGGCACAAGCATCCGACAATACCGCTGGATTGTATTTTTTGGATACACGAGACTATAACAGTATCATGCTCATTCATCTTCAGAATGAGGACCCTGGACGTGTGTTTGCTGCGTTTAGAGATATGATGGATCAGGCCAAGTCGTTTGGGGATGTGCCTATGGCTGCTGCAAGTAGTAGTCCGAATGCAAGATCCTATACACTGCTAATTACAAGTCACATCACGTCTGGTGCACTAGCTGCCGGACTGGACGTGTACAATCTCGTGAAGGCTGCTTGGCCTGCATATGAATACGATGCGGATGTCGTCGCTGTGATACTGAATGGGCTGGGACGTGCGGGCAGGATACAGGAAGCAGAGAAGATGTTTAGTAGGTACCAGCAGCATATCACAAAAAGAGATACGGGTGGATATAGCAGTAAACGTAGACAGTATAAACAGACACCACGAATCGCATCCCAATCGCGAATGGTCTCGGAAGCCATGATCAGAGTATTAGGACACCACGAACGTGTCCACGACGCTAATAAGATATTCAACACGATAAAAACCGATATACAGTCAACGCCCGATATTACCATACCGGATCTAGAAGCTTATGATGCGATGATGGATGTGCTGGTCACAAATCACCAGGCTGAGCAAGCTGAAGAACTATGGAGTACGCTGTTGGAAGCACTACATGCTGCATCGCTGCAAACGCGGCATCTTAAATCTAGCCATACGACATGGCCGGAATTCATACCACACGAATCAACCTTTGTCAGTGTTATGACTGGACGGGCGAGTAGGAAGGATGTTGAGGGGGTGCTGACACTGTTTGAGGAGTTGGAGGAGGTGCATATACCGAGTATAGATGCGTATAGGATTGTTATACAGGTGCATGTCGCTGTTGGAGATGTGGGGGGTGCTGTGGCATGGTATGATAGGATGGTGGATAAGGGGTTTACGCCGCCGTTTTTGTTAAGTGCTACTATTCAGCGGTTGAGGAGACCTAACTCGGAGGTGTAAAATGTGTATTGCTAGAAGGAGTGTTAAATTTATTGGGGAGTTGTTTTGTGCAGTTATAATACAAGTAAATCATACAGCATCGTTTATATATCGACCTTGTGCCAGTATAATACAACATCATACAGCATCATACAGCATTTTTCATATGTCACCATCGTGTTAGTGTAAGAGTTGACGAATGAATGAGTCCAAAGAGTTGACGAATGAACACGTCCATGATACCTCCAATTCCAACACCACATTCTACTAACTTCCATAAACAGCAATCCAAGCAGCGACCCTCTTCATCATCTCCACCAACAATGGCATATTCCCCGAATTCCTCGACCATTCCGCAAACGCATCCGTCTTCATCAACTCCTTGACCAACTTATTCTCAGCAATATAATCCAGCGCACCGCTCTTCAACGAGTAATCATGTCTCGCATGTCCCCCAAAGCCGACAAATCAAGCACCGTATCAACATTACAATCACAAATGATGATTTCGTCGATAATGGATTTGTAGATTTGTAGCACTTGTATATATCCTTCGTTCCTCTGCGACCCTTGATGGCGATTGAAAACCAGACGGTAACAGGTACATTGTTGTCCTTTCCGTAATGAGCGACTGAGCGGAGTACTGGTATGAAAAGTCTAGAGTCAGATACAGCTGGAAATTCTTTGACAATGGCAGCTCTCAACAATGATTGCCAACCTGGAACGACATCTCTATGTAGATGAAATGACAAGGGTAAAAACTTAGACAGCAATGGCTCGCAACAGTCATTTCACAGGGACTTGCACTCTTTCACACTCAGCACATGAAAGCATAAGCAACCGACTTACTCATCGTCATCTGAATCATCTTCATCGCTACTACTGTCATCGTCAACAACAATCGTTGACTGCTTCGTCAACACCATTCGGAATCAAGCGTCTCCCTATTTGATTGACGGGCTCTACAAAAAGAATTGAGGGACAATATTAGAAAATATTGTTGATAACAAAATGTCTTGAGGTTCAAACTTTTGATCACTGTACACAAATGCTTGCGAAAACATTACCTGCTTCACCAAACGAAAGCTGATCGACATCACGGAGATTCCATAAATACGAAGCACTCTTTTGAGATATAGCACCCTCTGATTCGGAAAGCGGTTGCATGGTCGGCCGAGTACTACTAAAGTTTCGAAGTTTGTTATTTGGGAGTTTTGAGCTTTCTTCCGAGACAAGAGTTTATCACTAGAGAGAGACAGGACACTTACCTCCTGACTTCTCTATAATTAGGATGGGATTCCATTCCGGCCTATTCTCCCCACTAAGCAATGTACGTAAATGAGAAATGTATGAATTTTTTGGAGCTCACAAGCTGTCAAACTCCCACAATACATAAATCTCACGCTCCTGCGCTATAGATATTTACATGATTCCACAAGCAATGATTCCTTGTATCGCTGTACACGCTGGAGCAGGACAACATTCCAAGATCAACGAACTAGCCTACACTACACTCTGTCAAAACGCTGTATCGCACGGACTCGCCATCTTAAAACGCGGTGGACATGCCGATGAAGCCGTAGAAGCCGCTATTTGTACCCTCGAAGCATCTACACTCACAAACGCCGGTGTGGGAAGCAACCTCGACATACAAGGACACGTATCGTGTGATGCGTCTATAACGCTCTCACACCGTAATCAGCCAGGAGTCTCCTTTGGTAGTGTAGGTGGTATACAACGTGTGCCGCATCCTATAAGTGTTGCGAGGAGGATTATGGTGGAAGAGTCGAAGGCACGTGGTGCTGCTGGACGTATCTTGCCGATCATGTTGGTGGGAGGCGATGCAACTGAGTACGCCAAGAATCGTGGATTTGATGTGGTGGATGGTGACGAGGATATGATAACGGTGAAATCGAGGGGGCAGTATGAGAGGCACAAGGAGATCTTGCAGGGAGCTGTAGATCTGGCCTTCGAGGATAAAGTGCATCAGGAATCGCTAGAAGCATCTTCTGATAACGCAGAATCTCATAAAGGTATGCTGAAACGACCTCCAGACACCACCGACAGGTCAAACGCAAAACGACGAACTCACGACCACGACGACATATTCAACGATACGGTCGGAGCCGTATGCATAGATACAAACGGATCCGTAGCATCAGGCGTTTCATCAGGTGGCATATCCCTAAAACAATCTGGTAGAATAGGAGAAGCTGCCATATTCGGTGCTGGTTGCCACGCGCAAAACATCTCCTCCAAATCACCAATCGGATCATCAGTCTCAGGAACCGGAGAACACATTATGAAAACCATGCTGGCTCGAGATCTTACGCGAGCATTTGCAACTGCGCGAATGTATGATGTTGAAAAGGATACGGCGGTACTTAAGAGGTTGTATAATGAGTGTTTTGTAGAAGCGCCTGAACTGAGGGTGAAAGATGAGGCTGCTGCTGGTGTTTTGCTGTTGACGAATGGTGGACACGTGTGTGAGATGTTTTACGTCCATTCGACGCAGAGTTTTTGCGTTGGGTATGGGTCGATTAGAGAGGATGGGAAGGAGACCGTGTCGGCCATCATGTCGCGGTCGACGGGATCTAGTCCTGTTGTGTCGGGATATGCTGGGTTTTAGAAACCCTCCTGCAACGTCATAACACAACAGCTTTGTAAAACATAATAATAGTATAACCGCAGCATGTATACAGTCCAGATAAAAGCTACATTATAAGTTTATAGTATGCAGCACCTATTATCGTCACAGCCGACAAGGAAACGGAGAACCAGCTCACGTCCATGCCGTTCGTTGCCGAGCTTTTCGTCTCTCCCACACTCAAAGTCTGTGTCCCTGTTGCAGCAGCAGCTGCTTTAGTGGTAGTTGTAGCACCAGCATTGCTTGGTGATTCCTGAGCTGCACCGCCTTGATTAGCTGGTGGAGAGACGGTTGTTGGGCCAGAGGTATAAGATATAGAGGAGCCGCCACCGTTGGGTACGTAAGGGAGGTTGGCTTGTCCGTTGTCGAATGTGCCCGAGTAGTAGGTTCCCGGTATTGCGATCTAAGGGTAAGAGATTCGGGTTAGGTTGGATACATCATGATGGGAAGAGGTTTGAGACGTACGTCACATCCACTATGAGAAACGAAAGAGGATTAACTTTTGTTCTCCTATGAGCTTTTGATCTGCGACTTACTATCTGTCGTTATTGAGATTACATTGTCCTGATACTTTACAGCATCTGATACAGAATTGGCTGCTTCCGATGATTTGATAGACTGTAGAACCGAAGGATCAATTGTCTGAATGCGAACGTTGGACAGAGGTCGTTTCACTTACACTATGGAAGCAAAGCGTTAGTAACAGACCCTTCACCGATTCGTAACGACAAATCAACATACCTCTTTGAACCCTTGACACATGCCTCCGGGTGGTGAATTGTATGTTGGGTTGTAATCTAACACCAATAAAAGCTAGTCTAGGAAGGTCCCAATATCAACGTGTAATCGCCCAACAACACCATACCATATTGTCCACCAACAGCTCCAGAAGCAATATACCCGACATTCAACAAGCCCGTAACTTGCACCGTGTTGCCATCAGGCGATGCGACGTAATGCGCAGATTGTATGAAATTACTCGGCATCAGTTTACTTCCGGAAGCCAGTGAGGTATCTGTGCAGAACGCTACCGCATCAGATGAGGCTTGTACACTACTGCATCCCTCTGATATAGATATGTCTGTTGCTCCTGAGGTTGGTGGTAGCTAGAAAGAGGTGGTGTTGTGTGAGCGGAGCCTGAATGGGCGACAAGGTGGCTGTAAGGAGTTGGGAAGACGTACAAAGAGACAGAAAGCGCTGGCTATATGATGAATATGTTAGATTTGGTTGGTGCATGAGAATGCGATCTTCTTGACTTACCGCCTGATGTATCCAGAAAAATGATGGAAAAGGAAATGAGGGAGATGATGTTTGATCAGTAACAGATGTCGCCACGGAAAGACGTACGCCCTCAATATCCACCATCAAATACACATACGACTCCATAAAGATGCCTAAACATCAACCGGTTTGGTTGTAAACACGAATACTTACTCTGAATCGCAACTTGTTTGCTGCTACCACCACTCCCACAAAGACTTCCCGAGCATACACATGAGAAGGCACTCCTGACGAACAATAAGAGGCCCAATAACGATGCTATCCTGGGATTCATCCTCTACAATATCAAAAACCACTGTTCGGAGCTTTGGTCAAAACACACGACAGGGGTTTGTGCGGTTGGAGTGCGCTGTGCCACAGGCGAAAACAGGCTCTGGAAGGACGTGGTTTGGAAGAGAAAACGACAAGTAAAAGCTGTTGATCTGCAAGATTCTTGACTGATATTGACGTTCCAAGGCGTATTCCATGAGCGACCGATAGGACAATGTTGAAAACGCACGTTTGCGTCTGCTGTTGCCCACTGCCACGTGTTTTGGTATAGATTTTCAACTTACCACAATACTTGAACACGTCCTATGCGTTTTTAGGTGCGAAATAACCACCATTGCACGCGGAAACTCCTGTAATTCACTATCATCGGTAGATTGTTCATCCTCAGGCACGAAATCGTGGTTTCACTAGAAACGTCGCAAATCTCAAAGCTCAAGCGAGACAAGCTAGATCAGCATGGCATTCCAATCTTCTGCTGCTGCGGATGTATCTCCTGACAAGCCTCTACGTCTAGTTGGCAACATTGGGTCCCCGTGAGTGATTTGCGGACATCAACGAATTGCACAGATGTGACGAGAAGAACCAATAGTTTTGGAACACATATAGGTACTCTGTTAAGGTCAGAGCTTACTTGCGATACAGGAGGATTCCGTACCTATGGACACCAATGGTACTGCATCATATCATACATTCAACATTTTGTCGCATTGTTGACCATGCGATCCTATCAACACCATTATATCATAGACTCGACAAGTAGCCGACAAAGTACTTTTCGCTCATTACGCTCTGATCCGTCTTGGATCAAATCACTGCTCACACATCCATTACAAACACCCAGTACAAGACCGTCCCGAGTGTAATCCCCAAACTGGTCTACCCAGACAATTCGATTCATGTAGACTCGACCCCACTAATGCTCAGACTTGAAAAAGAATTCAAGAATCGACCAGTCACTTGTCCAGATCCAGCTACCCAGTTTATTGCTCATCTCATTGAAGACTTTGGTGATGAATGGGTTACAAAAATCATGTTTGCTGGACGCTGGTTTTATCCAAGAGATCAGAGCTTTGGACAGAAAGTTGTTGGGATTGGTATGGCGCTGAATGTGTGCATGTTTGTCACCAGCGCAAACGAGTTCACTGACATGATTTCGTTATTAGGAGCAACATTCCCTACCAAGTGAAACCCTTTGAACGCTTTATATTTCCCTCCAGATAGAATCATTAAATCAAACCCCTTGCACATAGCAAAATCGAATCAGATCCAATCGCTCAAGGCCTACGAGACCGCCAAGTCTCTCGAAATCCACTAGTGTTTGGCCCAAACAGCAACATCCATATCGTAACGCAAACCTATGAAATGATTATGGAGATTCTGGAAAATCATTTCGCAACGGGAGAATATTTCATTCTTGGTGGCAAGAGACCTTCTATGGCTGATTTCGGGATGGCGGGGCAGCTGTTTCAGGCCGGTGTTATTGATAGTGAGTGTTGTGGAGATATGGTGATCGGTGATGGTATTAGAGTTAATCGACGTGCTGTTGTTTTTAGCCACTACAAGTTTGAAGATGCGGGAAGAGCAGCCAGGGAGTGAGTCTTTTGACTATTCAAAGTAGATTCAAGGTACTGAATCAACGTCTTAGGATGTTTCGTATGGTTGTTCAGAATTGATGATTTGTCTGGATACGAGCCAGGCGATGCTCCTTCTGTAAGCCATATGCTCCAAAACGATTGTCTTGATGCACAAAGCCAAAATCACCAACATATTCATATATGTTAGATCGACAAACTACCACATGGCGCCATGGAACTACTGAAACTAATTGCACAAGTATACTTGCCATTCTTGGCTGCGAATGAGAAAGCTGCTCGAAACGGAGACCCAAGTTATACCATCACTCCACCAGGATTCCCTAGCTACACTGGGGTAAGTCTTCTACAGTTTGCTGCCCGGAAGGCTTGTTGTGTTTTAGTTTGAAATTGTCTACCACATTCAAGATTTTAATCCTCAAGTTTGTCAACGCAGGCGCCCTTCAGATACCAAGTCAGATGTCTCGAATGGCTAAGAGAGGAACTCGCTGGCATTCAGGGTGAATCTCGTGCGAAATTGGAAGCTGTGTTGAAGGCAACTGGATGTTGGGATATCTTGAATGTGCCAGCTCGACAGGCACCATCTAAAATCTAGTTTTCTCAATACCATGTGGTACTTCTCTCGAAAATCAATACGTCGCAGTAGCACTGGAAAGTTGAAGTGGAAACATTCAGACCTCTCGGTGTCGCTTTCAATGTCGGTTGGGTCAGTCTTAAACGAGTATCAAGGTACTGATATTCGACTAGTGAAAGAATCGGCTGCGAGATCCGCTCAACGTGATGATGGAACCTTGCAAGCGATCCACTCGTTCAAACGCCTGATATATATGTTGCCTCGATCGCGATTTCACTATGTTGCAGAGATGCAAATAGAAAGGTTTTATAATGAGAATTAATGACGAAAGACTGGTAGATCTCATTATTTTCAAAAACACGTTTGGATCGCTGATCGGAGCTTTTAATTCGGCGTGTAGCGATGTAATCTGGAATAAAAGATTTATTTCGACTATTTCGACGCGTTTATAGCCAAGAACCACGTCCATTGTGTTTCACTTTCAAGTGCAGCCACCGGGGGTGTTCTGGTCTCAAGGCAACGCACTCGCACTTTCGAACTTCTTTCAAACCAAAATCGAATGAGAGGGAAGCAATCAAACAACAAGACGACTACCAGAAGACTCGGCTCTAGCTCTCCAGAGATCCTAGCATCCGTCAAAGCAAACGTTTTGGGGGCAAACAACCACTGCAGCATTCCTCAACACCACTCTCTCTTACTTGACCCAGGCTAAGGACGAAAAGAAAGTAGCCAATCTTGTTATAAACAGTATTATAGTAGACTAGGTAAGCCCATTGAACCATTCTTGTTACTGCTTTCAAACTTGTTTATTATTCGCCGCACAACCACATGAACATCTGATGTCGAAGAAAAAAATTTACCTTGTGGACGGCACCCACACAATTCGTTTGATTCAAGTACACTAATTAATGTTGTTTAGATTAGTATTTAGATTCCCCCCTTTATAACTCCAAGCTGGGCTCCAAGTTCAGCTGACTCCCACCATAGTCCTGGTATTCTTTCTGATGGGCTAGAGTCTCCTCACCGTCTGTTTGCCAACAGGACGTCGCCGCTTCATTACTGCTCTCATTCATATATCTCATACCCTATACTCTGTATATCCTCCTTGCCCGAATCTCGTCATCTCCCTCTCAACTCAAAAATTAGTAATCCCACTCGAAACCTCATAACTAGATTTTACAGTCGGGACATTGTTGTTTTAAGTTATATATTATAACTACCACCTTATAGTATACTATTAAAGCAGTAGGAACAGCTCTATATCGGGTCAACGAGAGGACATGTCAATCTCTTCAACCGTCACTACTGCCAATAATTCAAACACCAACACTAGTACCATACCTCCCATAACAAACCGATCTAGCCCAGCTCTATCAGCTGTATCTGCTCCCAGAATGCCTGCCTGTGTTCCATTAGCTCGGGCCATGTCTCCTGTTGAATTCAAGAACATGAGATTCTTGATTACGGATTGTCCTATTGATGCGTCTTTGGGTCATTATCTTGCAGTAAGTATTTACACAGTATGTACAGTGTTCATGTTATGATTGTGGTGCATCATGGAAAAGGTTTTGGATGGTGTTGGGCAGACTGATCGACCGTCGGGTGGTGAGATGGAGTGCATTGTACACATATGAAGTGTTGGGCTTCCGTGCAATGTACAGCATGCTCTCTCAGACGCTCATTCTCTAACTATTCATCACAATCGCCTCGTTACTCATCCTCTGTTTCCCCCCTAATGTAGGAATTCCAGGCCAGAGGCGTCACCGATGTAGTTAGGGTATGTGAAGCAACCTACGATAAGACATATCTGGAGAGCAACGGAATCAAAGTCCACGATTGGCCATTCAAGGACGGTGGAATCCCACCCAACGAGGTGGTTTTGGCATGGCTCGCACTATGTGAATCCCGTTTTGGAAGTGTATCCTTCAACCCATCCTCTTCACCTACTCCAACAAACGCCAAAATAGTAGATACCGACAATGGTGCTGTCACAGGACTCATCGTAAACAAACCAGTCATTGCGATCCACTGTGTAGCAGGATTGGGTCGAGCTCCGGTATTAGTCGCGATAGCACTGATTGAAGCAGGAATGGCTCCATTGGACTGTATAGAATATGTCAGACGAGGTATCGTGTTTGTGCCTCGCACAATCCACTTTTTGAATTCAAATTGAAATTTAGATATCTTTTCGTTTTATAGCACGTCGAGGAGCCTTCAATTCAATCCAATTGAGTTTCTTAGTTGACAATTATAAACGTCAATGGATGAAGAAATCAGGTAGGTTGGGTATTAGTGCTGTGGGTGTCATGATGAAAAGATCCACTTCTCCTGGAATGGATGCTGCTCTACGACGCAAATCTGATGAGAGCAACTCCAACTCGAAGGACGGAGACAGCAGCAGCACCGGCAGCCAAAGCACTAGTGGAGCTACAAGTGCCTTGAAGAGTCTCTTTCGATTGAAGAGCCGCCCAAGCTCTATGGCATTACCAAGCCACACTGGTGAAGCATGAATGATAAATGATATAAAGGTGTCCTCATTTGTAGGGAAGTAAAGGATTGGCAAAACAAATATAATAAACGTGTCTTAAATATTCGCGTTGCTGGCAGCGAGACCCCGTTGGCGAGATCAAGAGAATTATCGCGAAGTTCATCGCAGCCTCTTGGTCTGTTTCGGGACCAACACGCCAGGCCAAAACGTGAGAAAACTTCCAAACATCAACTAGAGCGAAAAGTAGAGAGACAAAGATGTCAGCACGAAAAGGAAAAGGAAAGGCAGGTGGAGGACGCTTTAAATCCAAGAAGCGAGATGATAGTGAAGATGAAGAAAGTCCATTCGAATCAGAACCGAGAAGTGAAGAAAGAAGTGAAGATGAAGAAGATGAACAACCAGAACAAGGTAACGTGCATAGTTTATTTTAACATGATGGGAGTAGATTCGTTATTTAGAATATTTGCGCTCTACGAAGTCGATTGTTGCAATGGAAAATCAACATTTGAAGAACATTGACATCCGGAATGGAACGCATCGAACAAGTCTGTGTGAATAAGACAATTATCATCTAATCAACTCTATTATTTTCGACACTAGCGAGATCTTCACCTGCACGTGGCCGTCGCGGAAACTCGATTGTGAACTCCTCACCTTCCAAATCAACACCCATATCCTTTGGAGGCATAAACAAAAACAATGCACTCCCACTGCCTCCTCCACCACCGCCAATAGACTACTCTGCAATCCCTGACTCTATATGGCAGAATGTCGCTGCACTGCTATCTCAACAACTGGGTCGACCTCTTCCTCCTACAATGACGGTATTGCTGCCGCTCATGCACCAACTGAGTGGTAAAGGGCAATTACCGTTTCCGATGCCTGTACCTGGTGCGATACCTGCTGTTTCTGCTACCAGTGGTAATAGTAGTAGTAATAATGCAGGAATTAGTAATCAGACGCCACGAGGCAAACCAGTCGGTAAAGAGGAAGTAAATAGTAGTGCAACGCCAACGAATGATGGTGGGCAGCAGTTACGAACTAGTGGACGAGCACGCAAGAAGCGGGATTTTAGTGGTATGGATGAGTATACTGAGGAGGACGAGAGTATGACTCCACAACCTCAAGAGTCGCCACGTGGTAGTACTGCTCCAACAACAGATAATAATAATCAACAACAACCGCAGCAGCAGCAACCACAACCCAAACACCACAAACCCGCCGAAGCATACGACGACTGGCCGCCACGTGTATACCCCCGCACCAAACGAACATCAGTACGTACCCCCGAAATCCAAATCCAATGGATTCTCCCACCAGTTCCCTTATACACCTTCACACCAGACTACAACTATACATCCACCGCATCCCATCTCGGATACACAGGGTCTGCAGCCGCTGGACACGCAATCCAGTACACGGGATCAGATATGGATGATACAGATGGTGATTTTGATCCTCGACGACGCAGATTGCTGTTGCAGAGAGCTGGGCGAGGTGGTGGTGCGGGTACTGGTGCTGGGGGTAATGTGAATATGGCGGATTCGATGAGGGTGCAAAAGAAGCCGAGGATTAAGTGGACTGAGGATGAGGTTGATGCGTTGGAGGATGGGATGAGGCAGCATGGGACGAGGTGGAGTGCTATTGAGGCGCTGCATGGGAAGGGAGGGACTGGGAGGTTGTCGTTGCGTGATCAGGTTTGTGATCTGGCGTCGTATAGATGGACTATCTTTTGCGTTGCTTGTTCGTGCCATGGATCTGACATTGTGGTTTTGTTTTTGAAAGGTACAACTCAAGGATAAAGCTCGTGTTGAAAAGGCTCGTAGAATCAAACTTGGATTGGAGCTTGGTCCGTTTGAAAGAGTGAGTGAGATGGCGGGTGGAACAGAACCTGTGCGGAGTCGTTTTGCAAAATCTTGTTTTTTCGCTTGTTACCAACCAGACTCTTCATCATTTTCACAGGCATCCAATTAAAAGCAACTTTACACGAGCTGCACTCTCACAGAACCCACAAAAATATGACTATGCTGTATAGAAATCAATTATCGTTCTATTCTGCTCAAAGCCACGGTCAAAATAGAATTTGTAAAACATTCTGACTTGACGAAACACAAATATATATGATGATGAGTAACAAAAAAGCAACACGATAGTTATAAGATGATATAAGTGATGATGATGTCAGACTATGTGCAAAATTTCAAACCTCTCCTCCTTCTCCGTCTCTTCCTTTCTTATTTTCCCTTCAAATCCACCAGCTTCATAATAAGATTAGCCCCCACAGCGAAAAACACGACAATGATAATTAGTCTTGTCCCCATCTACAGCGAAAACCACTCAGAATATGGATAAAAAAGGGTATGAAAACAACGAATCACCTTGTCTTCAAACGCAGCCCCAGATTCACGTTTCTGTAAGCGGTCAGCACGTTCGTAAAACCTCCATAGTGCGTAGACGAGGAATATGAGGGTTGAGAGTGTGAATATTACGCCTGCTGCTTGTCCTGTTTGTGTGTGAAGAGTGGAAATTTGTCAGAGTTGCCACAAAACAACCCGGTACTACTTTTGAATAATAACTTGAAAAGCTTCCAGGCTCTTGACAATGGGGGTGACTTGAAGCTGATCTCTTTGACCACTTATGAGATCGTGATACTTCCATTTGGGGACTTTGCATCATACTCTCGTCGTCCTTTGTCAAGGTGCCACGACACATGTACGTACCTATCTGACTGCTTCCGTTCACAAGGGCAATTCCAAGACCTCCCAATATCAGCGAGACTGCGGTAAAAGAAACAACGAGAGTCAGAGTGGGCGAAAAAAAAGCAGCTTCATCCTTGCCAATTTTGACAAGCAAACATTCGGCAGTTCAAGCATACATTGAGCCCAAGACAGAAAGGTCCTCTCATTAGCCAGAAAGTTTTTGATTTTGACTGGTAGTTGACCTATACATCCAGAATCAGTCAGTACATGTCCCATATCTAGTTACTTTTACAGAGCTCGTCATGAATGTGTACCAGATGTATTGGAGCCAGACGTTGCAGGTTGTTTTCCTTTTCCACGGGGATCATGTGGGTCAAAGTATTGGAGGAAGGAGAGATGGCCTCTGTTGATAAGGGAATGGTATCAGTCATGGTAGAGAGACGGTTTTTTGCACTTTTTGAAGATACAAGACAGAAGCTTTAGGGAAAGAGGATGTAGCCATACCTCCTGGATAGTAGTGTGTCGTCATCTGGTGAGTGCGGCATGGTCTGTAGAAGCCTCCTTCAATGCAAGGTGAAGCAAATCTGACTGTGAAAAGATTTTAGGAATCGGAAAAGCTCAAACCCAAAAGTAGACGGTTCGACAGAGGTTTGTATCGATTGGTAGAGTATAATCGACGCGTGCGATGGCCTTGCCCTGAAGGTTTGGACCGTGATTACCGTGATTCGCTTGACTTTTGAAGCGAAGAAACGTGAAATGTTGCAATGCGGCTCAAACACGTTCGAAACACGAGAGTTATAGCTTCCATCTCCAATTCAAAGGAATACAATCATGTTCCAAATGCCTCTTCTTTGCCGGTGAGCTATGCTTGACTACCATCACCATCCATTATTTTTTTCTCACAAAAATCCAAACATATAGCAATGACGACCTTCTTGACCAGACCCATAAACAGGCAGTGCGATGCCTCCTTCAGCACATCGTCCATCCGGCACCTCATCACAACTGCACAAAAGAAATGGCTGCTCGAAACTGGCATCGCTCAACCAGCAAACAATCGTCCAAAACATTTCCCACCATCTCCAAGCAGGATCGCAGCCATAATAGCTACAAAGAAGGGCATAGACAAATCTACAGACAACCAACCACAAAAAGGTGTCAAGAACCCTCCTCACATATACAGGAAACGCATGGCACGCAAGACACCATTTGATGAATTCAAAGTCCCGCAGGAACAGCATCATCCTGATCAGGTCGTGACTCCTGTCAAGCCGTGGTATAATGATCCGTATCTGCTGGCGGCTAGAATATCGGTGCTGGCTAGCAAGACGGCCACGGAGCCGGATGCGTGGGATTTGTTGGTGAGGCATACAGGGAGTGCGAATGTCGAGGTGTTTAATACGTATATATCGGCGGTGCTCAAGAGAGGGGATAGGCAGGCTGCATGGAAGGCCTATTACATGGTATGAATGATGCGTTGTACTGTTGTTCAAGTTTCTGTCTCAAGTTTCACTTTACGCTAGATGGTGACCCGGAAGAAACAGCCATCCCCAACAACACACACCATGCTCCTAACCGCACTCGCAGACGCATGCAAAGACCCAGCAACAGATACCGACTACCGTAAATCCAAACTCGTACAGGCACTCGCCCATCTCGATAAAGTCGTCGCTCCCACAACCGCAATCCTAAACGCGGCCTTGAAAGTATGTAGCCAGTGTGTCGCAGAAGGCGGATATGAGTCTGGCGTCGAGATATATAGGAGAATGGTTGGTCGTGATGTTGGTGACAATCGTACAGCAGGCAAAGTGCCGAAGGATGTAATGGCATCTCCAGATATAATTACATTCGTGGCGATGTTTACGCTGTGTCGAGGATGCAGAAATGGTGATGATGGCGTAGGGAAGGCTAAAGAGGTCTGGGAGGAGGTGTTGAGGCAGTATGAGATGGAAAGGCTGAAACTGGATGCGAGACTTGTCGCATCGTATCTAGCGTGCTTTGTTAGAGCTAATGAAGCAGATGTGCAGCTCGCTCTGGATGTAGCATGTAGATACTTTGATTTGCCGGCTCGTATTGAAGATGTGATGCCACCGTCGAAGCAAAGCACTAGCACTAGTAAACCAGACACATTTGTTTTATCCCCACCATCCCTCTACACCATCCTCCGTCTCGTCCAACGCCTCGATCTCGACCAGCTAGGATTCGCATACATGGACATTGCCCAGAAACGGGATCTCGTAACGCTCGATGAAGGTGTATATGATTTACAAACTGGGTTTCTGTTACGCAAGCATAAAGTCGAGAAGGCTTGGAATGTCGCTACGCAGTGTGCTGCTAGTGCGACACTTACGCTGGCTATGAAGACTAGTATATGTTACAGTGCTATAAAACCGAATAACCGGGGAAACGAAATATGGAGTACCCGTTTACGTGATTGTGTTGTAAAGGCATCGGACTATGAATTAAGGGGGCTGGATTTACGGTGCAGTGGGAGATTACTGGATGCGTTGCTTAACGGCAACGATTATGATACTGCCAGACAAGCTGTTGTAAGGTGTATGGGACCATGGGTTGTGAAATCGAAATCGGTTTTCTTAAAACCGGATCGAGAGTATGATGCACGGTTGCAGGCTGAGAAGAGAGATCGGGCGGAATTGCTGAGGTTGGCGTTGAGGGCATTTAGGAATGGTGGTGGGGAGATGGATTTGGTGGGTGTTGATGCGGTCGAGAAGATTGAGGACGCGCTGGCGGTGTATAATGAGGAAGGCAACGAGGTGGATGATGTGAAGGGTCGGAGACGTGAGAAGAAGGGTGGTAGCAGTATTAAGAGTAGTAGGAATAGTATGAGTAATCAGCAGCAAATTACTGTATAAAGAGCTTTAATTTATAATGTAATATAGCGTAGAACCTCGATTCAAGTGCATGTGAAAAAGTTGATATTTGAACTTGCTGTGCCCTACTCCGCCTCTGAGTTTACTTCGCAACACATTGCCTACGTCGAACTGTCATCTTGTGGAAATCTACCGGTTGTAAAGCTGCGATTTGCTACGTACAAGCCAGATACTCTGTAGCTATAACTTGGTAAGTCTTGCAATACTATCTGCTCCTTCGTCAAAACTCTGTTTGAGCCTTTGCACCCATGGTTTGCGCAAAACACCCTTTGTTGTTGTGAATCGTATGGCGGATACCTACTCACATTGTTGCAAATCTGTATATCAAACGGCTTGAAACCTCATATGAACGCACCTCTCACCTATAGACTCAACATCAACACCCGACGTAACACACTGCCACTTTACACATGACAACCGCCGAACAACCCGCTGCTGCTGAAGCAAAATCAGAATATGTCGTTGACGGCGTCGACCGCTCGTGCTGCGCTACGGGATATCTAGCTCAAGGACCTGGTAAAAAGCAGCAATCTGCAAAACCGTAATACATGTAAGCTGAGTTTCTTTGTGCTAGATCCAACGGGCACGATTGAGAAAATCGGTGGCAGGGACTGCTACGTTGCGCGTCCCAAGACGTTTACGGGGAAGGCGATTATGCTGATTCCGGATGTTTTTGGATGGGCTGTAAGTTTGTTGTTGATACGTTGGGAGACAAGGGATCTGGAGCTCATAGGCGATTTTCGATTGTAGATTAAGAATGCAAGAGTTATCGCTGATCGCTTTGCGGAAGGTGGATTTTGTAAGTTGTCTCAAAGTTCCAAGTGTTTGTGATATTACATTCGACGAATGTGATTTACTCAATTACCAACATTCTCTGCTGTACGCATTTACCAATTCATATTCTGTCACAGTGGTAGTCGTCCCGGACTTCTTCAACGGAGACCGCATCGCACCTGATTTCATAAAAGATGCCTTCTTCCCTGCCAAGACCATATTGGGCAAAATGGGAGCTGTAAGCGCATTTTATACCATCACATCCCTTCAGTCGCATCAAAAAGCTAATGCAAATCTGTATTTGTTGGATAGGGCGTTCGTATGGTCCTCTCAGCACCCGCATTCATATCCTTCATCCGCAAACACGATCCTTCCAAAATCGTCGATTTGGCTACCCCTATTGTGAATGAGTTGAAAGGGGAAAGATTTGGGTGTGTCAAGTTGGGGGCTACTGGGTATTGCTGGGGTGAGTTTGTAAATAATATTTGCTGATGCTTCCCAGAACTTGTTTTGGTTTTGTCACTGAGTTTGTGTTTCTTTAGGTGGTATGGCAGGAGCTCTTTTAGCTGGGACGGACTTGGTTGATGTTGTTGTTATTAATCACCCTGGTATGCAATTTTGAGGTTTCGTCGTGTGAGATCAAATAGCATCCACACGATAGCTGATTTTTTGTTGTTAGGTCCAATTGACTTCCCAAAGGCAAGCTCACCATCGTCCTTACAGCTTCAAACTTGGAGACTAACACACGAAACATACAGGCAACCGACGCCATCAAAAAACCCACACTATGGCTTCTCGCCGAAACAGACCAATACTTTTCTGACGCGCTCAAGGACAAGATTGTCGCGTCGCTTCAGGCTAGGAAGGCGGATGCGCAGTTTGTTACCTTGTAAGTGTTGCAACCATTCTATGTGTACACCTGATAAGTGAGTTTGAATTTTTTTGCATTTTCAATGCTAGTCCAGGAACAGTGCATGGATTTGCATCGCGAGGAGATGAAGGGAATGAGGTTACGAAGAAGGCTATGGTGGGCGCGCGGGAGAAGGCGTTAGAGTTTTTTAAGGAGAGGTTGTGAAGGAGAGAGTTTGAAGGACGTTAGTAAACGATGTAGCTGGGCGCATTTTTGGTTTGATGTTTTTAACTTTCTGAAACAAGATGGGATTTATTGGAGCCCTTTGTTTTGGGTGTTGATACTGGTGTTGTTGGATTTGCTGTTTTCGTGTAGTCAACTGTTTGGACCAGTGTGATTTTCAACGTGACAATCTTGCTCTTCTTTGGACACTATTCAGAGCTATTAGAGCTATTGGACAGAGGTATTGGCTTTGGATTGATCAAGAATTGGTGACGTATTGAGGATGTGTTTTGGTGATGCTGGGACCCGTTAAGTTAGTGAGAAACACGCTGAGAGCAACACCTGTTGAGTTAGTGAGAAATACGTCGAGAGCAAAACTTATTGTTGCCGTTGGTCGTGACGATTACCTGACATTTTCCACTCTCGCAGCTTCTCGTTTTCAAACATTGAAATGGATATCACGTATCAATGACTTTCATGCTCAAACTGCCGTTGCAACAAAACTTTTTTGGAGCTTGTTTTCCTTGAGACTGGACACGGATTGGCTTCTAGAGCGATGGAAGATTCATAGTCTCGAAAATGGCTATGGAGCCTGATCGTGACAAGGCGTTGGAGGTTTTAAGAATCGGTTACGAGAGACGTGAAGGTTGCGGAACGAGATTGTTTGGGCGATGAGTAGTTATGAGTGTTTGGCTCTATGTACAGTTTTACTGTACGAAATACGAGGAGCCTTCTCCAACACGTTTTCAAAGGTCATGTGATGAATCTTGTTAATTTCTAGCCTTTAGATTCTTGAGAGTATACGAAC